TTCCGACTTCCCTTTTCTGTAGCGTTGTTGCTTGAGTTGGCATCCAAACATTGCCATTGTTGTGCATGGTAGCTCTTTGATCTAGGACAGGCTTCCTCCCATCCTTTTTTTTTTAAAAAATGACATTTATTGGAGCAGCCAGGTCATTTATCAAGTAGAATACCTCATGTGATGTTTTTGGTCAGTGGCTTCTTCATGGTGGTGTTTAACTTGTACCTCTACTTCATGTACTTTCTATGACCTAATAGTGAACGTGAAGGCTTGCAAAGGTTGGAGCTCAGTGCTCAAGCAAAGACGGGTGTGTGTGATGGGATGCTTTTCCTTCAGATGCCATTAGGAGGCATGCAGGGTGCTGAGTGGCCCCAGCGGTGCCAGCCTCCTCCCTGCGTTCTTGGTCTCTGCCACTGCATCCCGAGATTGCCATGCCCATTGACGACTGCTGCCTGGATCCATTATTTAGAGTTGCCAAGTGCTGCTGGGCTGTTGCTTATGCCCTTTCTAGCACTGCAGGCCTGGACGCGTCTCCCCTCTGTCTGTCCTTTCCTGACAGGATATAATGTCGTTTCCTGTACTTCCTGACACTGTTATAAAGTTGATGAAAAAGTACTGAGTACTTAATTGAATGGATTGCTGGGACATGACTGGTTAGCCTGAATCATCCTGCCTCTGTCCCAAGTCAGTGAAAAAAGCAGATAGCTGCAGAAGAAAAGATGGCCATGGTGCTGCGGCAGGAGCTGTGTGACCGCTTCCTCCGGAGCTGGCCGGGGCGGTACGGTGCCTGAGCCGAGGCACACGCGAGGACAGGGCCTCCTGACGGTGCCCCCTCTCTAGGAGAACCGCCGTCGGGCCAAGGAGGAAGTCTCTGCCATGGAGGAGGAGATGGCGCTGGCCGAGGAGCAGTTGCGGGCACGGCGGCAGGAGCAGGAGAAGCGCAGCCCCTTGGGCAGTGCCAGGTGAGCTCTGGTCTCAGGATGCTGGGCGGGAGCCTGCCCAGGGAGGAGCCCTGACACATGGTCATGATTATAAGAGGAGTGGGATGTATGAGGATGAGCTGGTGGCAGAAGTGGCTTCTGCGCTGGGTAGTCACCTGTGGAGGCCCATGGGGCATTCCAGGCAGCTTAAAAGGTGCAGTTAGAAACACGCAGCTGCAGGTCGCTGCCATGTGCTAAGCCCTGCCATGGGCTGCAGTGCAGGGCATCTCCTGCCGTCGGATGGGTGCAGGTGCCGCTCTCTGTGCGCTGCCCTTGAGATCTCCTGAGTGGTGTGCCTTTCAGCCTCTGGGCTGAGCCCAGAGTTTAGCCACACCTGACAGGTTACGGGGACAGTCCACTTCAACACTACTTGCCAGATAGCAGGTGGCTCTTACTTCTGTCCAACTTGTTAGAAATTTAGAGATCTTTCGGACTCCTTCAGGCTCAATAGTTTACTAGAAGGCCTTGGAGAACCGAGGAAAGCACCGTACTTGACCGTTAATCTCGGTATAGCACAAAACAGATCAGAATGACCACAGGGAAAGGCCCCCAGTGAGAAGCTTCCTGTGTCACCAGGGCCAAGGGACCGTCTCATCCACTGGTGTGTGACAGTGTGTTCTGGACACTGCCAGCCAGTAGAGTTCACTGTAGTGTTGGCATCCAGGGTATCTGTTGGGGCTTTATAACAAAGCCTGGATGGCTGAATCATGGGCTAGAGGTGGAACTTCTCTGGCCCCTGTGAGATCAGGCTCACACACATGGCTTCAAGCTCTAGCTGATACTCGTTGGATCTTTTTGGCCAGTTTGGCTTGTTTCAAGTCATTTGTTAGTTTTAATTGTTGAGGGATCTTGCCATGAGCTAACTCATTGGAGACCTGGGTGGAGCTCCTGGCTTTTGGCTTCGGCCTCGCCCAGCCCTGGCTGTTGTGGCCATTTGGGGAGTGAACCATTGAGTCTCTCTCTATTGCTCCGCTTTTCAAATAAATAAAAAGAAGTAAAACAAAGAAACATCTGTCTTAAATATTCCCAGACAGCCATCAGAATGAGGTAACTTTCCTTTAGTACCAACTCAGTCCAAAAGGTGGAAGGCAGGAGGTGGGAGTGGGTTGGGGGTAAGAATCTTGAGCCCACAACCTCCCGCATGGGCCGGACGTGGCGAGGCCAGATGCTTTGTACTGCTGAGCACCTTGCTGGGCCGAGGAGCAGTGTTCCTAACCCCTGTCTGTGCTTCTAGGTCTACAAAGATCTACACACCGGGTCGGAAAGAGCAGGGGGAGCCCATGACCCCTCGCCGCACACCAGCCCGCTTTGGGCTCTGAGCGGAGGCCACGCAGGAGATAATGGCAGCCACGTTGGGTCCTGCGTGCTCCAGCATGACAACGCTCTCTCATCTGGAGATGGCATTGTCCCCGGGCCATTGCTGGCGGGCTGGGCTTTGCCACACGATGGGGAGATGCTCCTCAGGGTGGGAGCTGGGAAGCAGCCCCAGCTGCCAAGTGGACAGCAGGAGGTGGCTGGGTCCATCTTGGGACAAAGGCCATTCTGAGCTGCTGGATGTATGAGCGACTGGGCTGTGAGCATGTCTTTTTTTACTCCTTATGTAAAGTAGCGAAACAGACCTAGAGGTAATTGTAATTTGGTTATAGTGCAGAATTTGGAAATAAATTTATCATTTGTAAAATGTGATTGCATTTCTCACTTTCTTTTTGCTTTGCCCTAATTTTAGGATGGCTTTTTCTTTTGAATACGTTGAGATTTTGATAGGGATTGCGTTGTATCTGTAAACCACTTTGGGTAATATTGCCATCTTAATACTAGATCTTCAAACAATGAACGTGGGGTATGTTTTCATTTGTTTATGTCTTCTTTCAGCAATTTGGTAGTTTTCCATGTGCAAGTTTTTCACCTCTTTGGTTAATTCCCAAGCATGTGGTTCTTTTTCATGCTATTGTCAGTGTTGTTTTTGTAACTTCCTTTTCATTCTGTCCATTGTCAGTAGGCACATGTGAGAATGCTACTGAGATGTGTTGGCTTTGCTTCTGGCTGCTTAGCTCTCCATTTTTTTAAATAACCTTCTTAGGGTTTTATGTGTATAAGTCATTTGTGAACATATATAATGTTACTTCCTTTCTAATTTGCATGCCTTTTTATATTTGTTTCCTTGTGTAATTGCTTTGGCTGGATCTTCCAGGACCCTGCAGAAGAGAAGTGGTTAAAGTGGGTCTTTCTTCTCAATCTTAGAGGAAAAGCTTTCAGTCTTTCACTGTCAATGTGACGTTTGCAGTGGGTTTTTCATGTAGCTTTTATCATGTTGAGGTAGTTTCTAAACCTAGTTTGCTTTTTTTTAAATCATAAATGAGTATCAATAATTTCTCTTTATTATCAGCTGTTTCCGTGTTACTCTTTTTTTTTTTTTTATAAACTTTCTTTTTTTTTTTTTTTTTTTAAAGATTTATTTTATTTTTATTGGAAAGGCGGATATACAGAGAGGAGAGACAGAGAGGAAGATCTTCCGTCCGAAGATTCACTCCCCAAGTGTGCACAACGGCTGATGCTATGTTTTCCCAGGCCACAGGCAGGGAACTGGAAGGGAAGAGGGGCCGCCGGGATTAGAACCGGTGCCCATATGGGATCCCGGGCGTGCAAGGCGAGGACCTTAACCACTGCGCCACCGCGCTGGGCCCTCCGTGTTACTTTTGTAAGTCGTACTTCTTTGGTTATTTATTTTATTTTAAAGTTTGAATTTTATGGTACAATTCTGTAGAGTCTGGGATTCTCGCCCTGCCCCAACTCCTACCCCCTCACTGATTTTCCCCATGGTTATTTCTTAAGGAATTACAGGCAGTCAGCACTCAGCTTCCCTGACCTTCCTCTTGTGTTTAGAGAAAGGACATTCTCAATGCGCCCCTCTTCAGTTAGGTCTTCTGCCTGCTGCTGTCTCTGAGCCAGCTGGCTGGGTGACACAGGGGATGTCCTGCCCTGACTGCTCCCTTAACTCACCACCTGCTTTCCTCTGATGTGAGCACTCCAGAAAGGCCACTGACAACTCACTGAGCAACTACAGCATTCAGAGTATCTAGGGTTGTCCTTTTCGTCCGGGTACACAAAATCAGTTTGTAAATTATAGACCTTTTTTTTTTTTTTCCAGTTTCAATGATTTCTGAACTTTGGTTTGTGTCAAGGGCCACAGCTAGAACTAGAAAGCAGTTTCAGGACAGAATCACATCTTTGAGTCTCTTGTTTTCTCTAGCAAATCCACTCCTCTAGGTCAGTTTGGGGAACGTAGTCAACAGTGAGACCACTGCATAAGATGCCCGTCTCCCCCACTGAGCCCGCACTGCTGGGCCCTGGCAGGAGCAGCCTGTGGAACGGGCATGTGGGAGCAGGGGGCGATTCTTGGTGTTTATTTGGCTGGGGGAGGGGGGAGGCAGTGATCCTGCAGACTCATGGCCCACCAATGTATTTCTTCCTTTTCTTTTCCTGCCCACCCCCGTCAGAAATAGCAGCTCTTTTATTTTCATTCTCTTTACTTTAGTGGCTACTTCTCATTTTCTACAGGATAGAACTATAAATTCTAGACATGAACTGAGTTTAACAAAATTCTCCCCCAATAAAATCGTTTAGCTGTCCTTGGAGTTTGCTATAATGGAATTTTACTTGTATTGAGGTAGCTAGGGAGAAAAATAAAATCATTAAGAGAAAGAATGGAATGTGGCCAGAGAGGTAGCAGATGGTTCTCCCACTGCCCCGTGTGGAAAAAGCATCTTTTATTTTTCGTCCTTTCTTTCAGATCTCAGGGTTACTTGAGGTTTTTCGGTTATATTCTTTTTAAATTCCAGACAGAGAAAAGAAAGCTAATCATCTCCCAGTGTTTTTAAAACACTGGAAGCTTGTTTTGCGAATGAGCTCTATTTTGTAAGTGGGAGAGACCAAACTAGTGTCTTAGAACCCGGACAAACGGGCATGGTTGCGGCAATGGGTGCTCGCGGCGGCTGGTATATGCTGCAGGACACCAGAGCTCACCCAGACTTTGTGTTCATGTCTTTATTTTGCCATTTGGGCCTGGGGTGGTGGAATGGTTCCAAAGCTTGCTCCATTGCAGGGAATTGGACAAAACTCAATGCTAGCATCTTGCAAAATAGGTTGGGGCCTTGTTACGTTCCTGAAGAGCTGATTCAGGTCAGGAGGACAGGGGTAGCAACTCACCATCCTCTGAAACTCACGCATGCTTATGATGCTCAGGCCAAGATGCTGAGTCTAGCAATATGAGGAACCTGAGGGGACAGGGAGGAAGTGAGAGTAGAGATTAAAGGGGTGATTCCTCAAGGGCTGGCCTCATGGGCAGCAAGAAGGGTGATCATGGGCCCAGGTGGGATGGGTGCTGGGGGAGTCTGGGGGCTTTCTGAGTACATAGCAGGGAGAACATGCTGGCTGTATCTGGTCCTCATCTATCTCTACTCTCTGAAAGGGACCGGGTCAGGGGAGGGGACAGCCTGAAAGATGGGGTACGTGGGTGTCGTGAAAGGTTCTTACATCAGAACAGGCCTTAGTTTGCCTTCTTCTTCTACAGAAGCAGAAGCAACTGTCTGTTTCGGACTAAGTCAAAGAATGACTCAAGGTCACGTAGACTTCTTTTCCTTAACTGGATCCCTAATGTAGTGATTTTTACAAAAATAGTGTGGCCTATGGGACCACAAAAGAAGACATTCCAACAGCCACAGAAAGGGTGCCAGGTGTACCTGAGCAGTGGGGCAGCCCGAGGTACTTGGTGAAGTCCAGCCTGGGGCTCAGATCCTGGGGCGTGCCTCTCCAGCCCAGCATACCACACACTTTGCCCTTCTGTGTGGGCTCCACTTTGCTAGGGCATATCGCTTTGCTGCAAAGCTTCTGATGCCCGGCTTTTATCTTCTTGTCTTCAATCTCATTCTTTAGCTTCTTGTTTTCTTGCTGCAGATGGATCATTACGTTGTGGAGGTGGCTGTGGGCAGGCACAGGAGGGAAGGGTGGGTGTTTGGTCAGCTTGGTTCCAGATACGAGCTGCCATGGGAAACGGCACGGCTGCTCAGTTCTTCTCAGAGCTGAGCTTCTATGCTTGGGGAGAGAGGCCTGGGGCAGGCATTGGACATTGCTTGGAATGCTTGCATTCTGTATTAGAGGCCTGGTTGAAAGTTGCAGTTCCCCACTCCTGATTCCTGCTCACGTGCACCCTGGGAGGCAGCAGGGGATAGCTCAAGGGCTGTCAGGTCCTACCAGCCGCTTGGGAGACCTGATGGAGTTCTCAGCTGCTGGCTCTGGCCTGGCCCATGCTACAGTGAACCAACCCTGCCTTGGGAAGCTGGGCAGTGGCACTGGATCCTAGCTCTCAGTCCTCCATCTCAGGCAGACCCCTCCAAGACCTCTTCTACATTGTGGACCTGGAATGAGGGTGGATGCACTGTCTCCAGCCTTGCTGTCACCTGGTACTTCACCACCTCCAATTGCTAGGTGTGGATGTTCACTACTTCACCTCTTCTTAAACTTCCAGTGCTCCCCAGCACCTTACTCTCAGCTGACTCAACTTTGACTATGTGCAAGAGGCAAGACGGGGGTGGGTGGGGAGTGAAGTCACAGGGGGGAGGGACCTAGGCCCCCAGATGAGTAGATGGGACAGGGGTGCTGCCTGCCCCAGCCAACCTGGACTGCCCTCGCTAGACTCCCAACACAGCTGCTGTGTGCTCCTTCATCTGGGAGTCTCTGTTACAGCAACTCTCCCCAGCTGGGAATCCAGACTGCCTCTCAGGACCTTGACCTTGGACGGTCACCAAAGGTGACCATGGAAAGCAGCAGAGAGACTACCACCTTTGTCTTATTGCGGGAACCAAGGCCCAGAGAGGCCACGTGATGCCCCCAAGGGTTCATGGGTGCACATTAGTGGTTCAGGCAGCCCTGGCTCCATGCCAAACCTTGTCACTGGGGCACAAGGGGAGCAGCCAGGATGGTGTGGGATGACTTACTCCTTTTCACCAGTCAGCTTGGCAATGTATTTGACCTGCTCCCGGAGCTTGTTTCCGAGTTTCTCATTGGCAACCCTGTGAGAAAAATTGTCAGAAGTGTGGCCAGTTCCCCCAAGTCCTCAGTGAGGATGAGACTGGCTGGGTGGGACACTGGGTGTTCTTGGCATGACGTGCACTGGATTCTGGACCACCCACATGTTGACTTGTGTTTAGCTTAGCAGCTTTCTAGCACCTGGTGACTAAAAGCCGCCTACACAACATCGTGACTCCCAGGTGAGCTTCCAGGGGCCCGGGCGAAGCTGGATCCTGCTTTCAGAAGAGCAAGTGTGTGTCCTAGCATGGCAGTTGTCCCACCTAGGACCCACTCTGAGTCAGGAGGGCTTTCAAATTTGCCTGAAGAGGCTCATGCCTTGTGTCTTACTGCAGCCATTGGGCTTGGGCAGACTGCATTGATTCTCTCAATAGCAGCTTGTCTTTCTGTGTGTGTGTGTGGTCTTTTCTTTGGCACGTGTGTCATTTGTTAGCTCAGCCCAGGCCAGGGGAACTGGTCTTATTTTCTTCTCCCTTACTTACTTCTGCTCTTTGGCCCACTGCTCCATGTTACACATAATCTGATCATTCTCTCGGTGGAGCCTGCAGGTGTCTTTGGGCACGGAGCGCTGAGGCAGGCAGCAGGTCTTTGGTGTAAAGGAGAAAATGAAACGGTCAGAGTGGGAAGCTGAGGTCGGCCACCTCCCTCCCCCAAACTCAGGCCTCTTCTCTCTGCCTGGAAGAAGAGGGGACACGATGACTGTTACCCGGCCTAGAGTCACCCCGGGCCCTCTGCAGCTGTGTGGGCTGCATCCCACGCAAAGGAAACATCTCTCAGGGACACAATTTATGGCAGACATGGAGTAGATCTGACCACTGAGAATGATCCAAATGTCAGGGCAAAGGCACTAAAGTCATTTGAGAGAGAGAGAGAGAGAGAGAGAGAGAGAGAGAGAAAGGGAGCAGGCTATGTCCATCTGCTAACAGATGAAAGCAAGAGGTCTGGAGGAAAAGACACCTTCCTTCTAATGTACACAAAGGCCCTGTGGCCACCCCAAGATGTCCTGTGGCCTCTGGCCATGAACTTCACTGCATGCGAGCCTGGCATGGATGTGCCCAGGTGGTTACTCAGCCAGCGCTCCCATAGGGTCAGGGGCTCCTGGGAGGGTCAGGATGTGCTCTGCAGGGGGCCTGTGCTGTGGCCTGGTTGAGGAACCTAGAGGTACATTTTCTGGATTGGGGCCTCCGTACTGCTTCGGTAGCTTTCCACAAGCAGACAGTTGGGGTGAGATGGCTGCTGTGGTCCCCAAGTGCCCAGCCCTGCTTCATGATGCATGCAGACATGTCCTTGGCTTGCTCCCAGGGGCCCCTGCCCATGCCAGGCACTGCCTGGCATGGGGGTGGGCCAGGGAGGTGCTGGGAGGCAGGAGGCATGCCTACCTCCTTCTCGTCTGCAAGGAGGTTCTCTTTGAGCGTGGTCATCTCCTCCTGGAACTCCCTGAGCTGCTGCTCTTTGGCTGCCAGCATCTTGAGGTCATTTTGGTGCTGCTTCTGCCACTGCAGCACTTGGTTGCTCATCTCCTCTAGCTTCTTGTCAAAGGTGTTCACCTGCTTGGGAGTCTAAAGTGAGGGGGAGGGAACTCCAGCTCCTCTAGAACCTGGAGATCCAGGGGGAGTGAACTGGTGGTGAGGGGGCGGAGATATTTTATTTCCAGCAGCCAGCAGAGGGCACCCCTGCACTGATCTTTGTCTCCAGGAAGCGCACAAAAGTGCAGGGAACCATTAGCCAAGGGGAATGATTTAGTGCTGAATAATTTTGGAAGCAGGAGGTGACCTTTCAGAGCCCTAACAGGAAGACAGCCAGAGCCTCTGGCTGCTCTCACCTCTAGCTCACTCTGCTGGTGGAAGCCCTGCAGTTTTTTCAATTCCATATTGAGCTTTTTCATCCTGTCCTCATAGGCGAGGATTTCATCTTCCAGGTGAGCCTTCTTGTCTTGCGCCTGCAGCAAGCTTCGTTGCAGGCTCTTTGTCTCTGAGGTCGCATGGTTGAGCTTCCAGGGAAAAGAAAGGGGATGAAAATGGTCACCCCTGAGTGGGGAAGGACCCCCCATTCCTCCCGCTCCCTGGCCCATCTTTCCTAGGGTCCCAGAGGGAAAGGAATAGACAGGGGTTGATTTTTCTGTACACACTCTACCTCTGGCTGCCCCTCATTCCTCATCTCCATTTGTTTTCTTTCCAGGCAGATGAGTGGATCAGCCAGGCAGGCTTGGCAGAGGGATGGGGTGTGAATTCCCCTGGCAGCCCATGCTTTGGGCAGAAAAGGCTCAGGACATTGGGCCTGTATCTTTGACCCCACCAAGCTTCCTAAAGAGAAAGCAGACTCTCTCTGGATAGCAAAGCAGAGGGCTCCTGAAGCTGATGACACCAGGCAGTCAGGAGCCTGGCTCTGGTGCGTCACTGCCTGGTCCCCAAGCGTCCTGTCTCCAGGCATGGCCTCACCTTCTCCAGGGCTTGCGTCAGGTCATCCTGGCAGGCACCCGACTTCCGGGATAACTCCTCATAGGTCTCTCTTGTCACCATGGTCTGAAGTAAGTGCCTCTCTTTCTCCTCCGCCTTCTCCAGCTGGGTCTTCAGGCTGGCAATGTTCTCCTTCTGGCGGTTTATCTTTAGGGAGGGACAACATCAGTGTCAAGGATCTCACAGGCACTCTTGGTGACCACAGGAAGTGGGCCGGGGCGGGGAGATAACCTCAATCTTGTTTAAAAGCTACAGATGTCATTCCAGGCACTCCCACACCCCACCCATCCATGTTTTCCCTTTTAGTTAGTGTATGCACCAATCAGAGGCAGTGCTGGGGACGCTGCATCATGAGACAACAGGCACATCGCGTCCGTCCCTCCTCTTCCAGACTCGGCAGTCTCTGATGCGGGTTTGGAATCCCAGGGTGGACATTTGGTGCTACAGGGAACACACTTGGTTGCGATGCCTGCATGTCATTGTAGAGTGCCTGGGTTCTAGTGTCTGGATTGATCTCTGTTCTTGATCCTAGTTTCCTGCTAATGAAACTGTGGGAAGCAACAGTGATAGCAAAAGTAACTGGATCCCTAATTCTCACATGGGAAACCTGCGCTGAGAGCTGGGTTTAGCCCCCATGGTCCTGACTTGCAGACATTTGGAAAATGAACCAGCGAATAGCACTGTCTCTCTCAAATAAATAAAAGTTTGTACTTTTTTTTTTTTTTTAAAGATAGGGGCTGGGGGGCAGCACTATGGTGTTACAGGCCTGCCTGTGGTGCTGGCATGTGTTCATATGACTTACGATCCAGTTCTCTGCTGGAAAGACAGTTGAGGATGGCTCAAGTCCCTGCACCCATGTGGGAGACTCAGAAAGATACTCCTGGCTCCTGGCTTCAGACAGGCTCATCTCCAGCCATTGCAGCAATTGGGGAGTGACCCAGTGGATGGAAGAGCTTTCTCTGTAAATCTGCCTTTCCAATAAAAATGAATAAATCTTAAAAAAAAATGATCCTGGGGAAACATTGTTGTGGCACAGTGGGTTAAGCTGCACTAACAGCCTCTCTCTGAGTGGGAGTTTCAAATCCAGCTACTTGGCTTCTCATTCAGTTTCCTGCTGATGTGCCCGAGAAGGCAGAGAAAGATGGCCCCAATCCACATCTTCGTGGAGACCCAGATGGAGTTCCTGGCTCCTGGTTTTGTCCTGGCCCAGATGTGGCTGTTGTAGCCATTTGAGTAGGGAACCAATAGATAAAAGATATCTGTCTCTATTGTTCTACCATTCAAGTAAATATGCAAGTCTTAAAGAGAGAGAAAGATAATTCTAGGTGGGCAAGCACTTTGCAAATTTTCATGCCTTACTTAGTCCCTGATGCAATTCACTAGACTTGATTTACCATAAAAATAGGAACACGTTGGGCCCGGTGGGATGGCTCAATTGGCTACTCCTCCTCTTACAGGCACCAGGATCCCAAATGGGTGCTGGTTAGTGTCCTGGTTGCTCCAATTCCCTTCCAGTTCCCTGCATATGGCCTGGGAAATAGAAGAGCAGCTCAAGGCCTTGGGACCCTGCACCCATGTGGGAGACCTGGAAGAGGCTCCTGGCTCCTGGCCTTGGATTGGCTCAGCTTTGGCTGTTGCAGCCATTTGGGGAGTGAACCAGTGGATGGAAGATCTTTCTCTCCATAACTCTGCCTTTCCAATAAAAATAAACATTTCAAAAAATATATAGGACCACATATAATGTGTGTTAATTGCTATTTTCCTATGCTAAATCTCAGGGCAGGGCACACAGTAGGGCTTCATAAATGGTAAATACTTTGAGTGAAACATTTCATTGTTTAGAGTTAAGGATCAAGAGCGTATATAATGCAGGCAAAAATGTGCTTCACAACAAGTCTGTGGGACTAGTGTTGTGGCATCGTGACTTAAGCCACCATCTTCAGTGCTGGCATCCCTATGGGGAATGGTTCTGGTCTTGGCTGTACCACTTATAATCCAGTTGCCTCTAATGTATCCAGGAAAGCAACGTAAGATGACTCAAGAGTTTGAGGCCCCTGCATCCATGTCGGAAGTCCAGAAGAAGCTCCTGGCTCCTGGTGCCAGACTTGCCTAGCTCTGGCCACTGCAGCCATTTGGGGAGTGAACCAGCGGATGGACGATTCTCCTCGCTTCCTTTTTCTGTAACTTATTTATTCAAATAAATAAAGAATACTTTTTCTTTTTTAAAGTCTGTGCTTTCAACTTGGCAATGAACATTCCAATCAAGAGGCTCTGAGATGAGGAGTCGGGGAGCTGGCTGAGGTCCCAGTTCTGTCACTAACTTCAGTTTCTTCTTCCATAAATCTGAATACCCTCAGGTGTTTGCCATGGTGCTGGGATGACAGACGTAGACAGGGCTCCCCAGGTGCCTACGCGCTCTCAGCGTGGACACACTGAGCCAGCTTGCTGTGCACTTCACCCCCAGGAGGCAGCTAAGTCTGGAAGCAGAAATGCATATACCTGCCTTCTGTTCCTTGCATCTTCATGTCACTGGTCACATACAAATGTACTCTTTTGGGCTTTTTGTTTTTTTCTAAAACTACTAACTATTCAGTACTTGAAATATTTTACTTTTTCAGATGGAATTCTAGGTATCTTTGAACTCTAGCAATAAGAGAGTTGAAAGCGTTAGATGGGACTTCGAAGTCTACACATTAATGCTCTAATGGTGCAACGATTCCTAAAGACGAAATAACTGTCTTCTGGAAACAGAAGTGCATCCTTTCTGGGCAATTTTACAAAACATGGGGTCAGCTGAGCTTGCCCACTCAGCTGGGGGTGTCACTGGAGAAACAATCGTTTGCTTGAGGGATGGTGGCTGATTGAGAAATGACGCCACAGAGAACAGACTTTTTAACAAAGGAAAGGTGATGGGGAAGATCATGGTGGTGATAGGAGGTAAAATGGAAGAGTAATCTTAAAACCTGCTAACATGAGTGGTTTAATTTGGGGAAAGATTCTAAGAATTTATGCAAATTACAGAGTGAAAGCATGCTTCCAATGCAAGTTCTAGTAAAAAAACAAAAACAAAAACAAAAAAAACCACGAAACCCTACATTCTCCTTTGCTAAATAAAGGTAGTAGGTCTATCTGGTTTTATAAGTTGAATTTCTGCAAGTCATCTTTGATTCATCACTTTCCACCTCACATTCATCTCATCAAGGAGTCTGGCCATTCTATCGCCAAAACACATCTCCAGCTTGTCCCCTTCTGCCTGTATTGACACTGGTCCAGGTTGCACAGAGCTGGCCTCCTCATTAGGCTCCTCACTTGCTCTGCAACCCTCCCTCATAAGTCATTTCCACACATTAGTTAGAATTGTATTTTGAAAACAGTCCATTCTCTTGTCCCTGGAGGGAATTGTATCAAAGGCTTTCTATTGCTGTAAGAAAACTTTCTGTCTCTTCACAGAGGCTGTGATGTCTGCTCCAGCCTGCCTCCTAACCTAATCCTGTAACTGTGTCTCCACTGATCAGTATACTCCAGGCACCTGGCTTTCCTTCACTCCTTAGAATGTGCCAAGCGTTGCACTCAGTGATACATGGTCCACAATAAGGACTCCAGTTGGAATGCAAAGGTTGGCCCAAACGAATAAATCTGACTCACCAAAGTACTGATTTAAGATGATGATATCACCATCTCAATGGTTTAAAAATGCATTAGGGCCCGGTGTGATAGCTCAGCGGCTCAATCCTTGCATGCACTGGGATCCCATATGGGTGCTGGTTTGTGTCTTGGCTTCTCCACTTCCCTTCTAGCTTTTTGCTTGTGGTCTGGGGAGGCAGTGGAGGCTTCGGGACCCTATACCCGTGTGGGCGACATAGAGGAAGCTCCTGACTCCTGGCTTAGATCAGCTCAGTTGCGGCCATTGCTGCCACTTGGGGAGTGAACTAGTGGATGGAGGATCTTTCTGTTTCCCTTCTCTGTAGATCTGCCTTTCCAATAAAAATTAATAAAACAAAACAAAAAAATGCATTTGCTAACGCCCGTAATTGTGGTGCAGGGGGTTAAGCTGCTGCCTGCATGGCTGGCATCTCAAATGATTGCTGGCTCCAGTCCTGGCTGATTCACTTTGGATCCAGCACCCTAACAATGCACTTGGGAAAGTAGTAGAAGGCGGCCTGAGTACTTGGACCTCCACATCATGTGGTAGATTCAATGGGATTTCAGGTTCCTGCTTTCGGCTTGACTGTCCCCTTGCCTTTGTAGTCACTTGGGGAATGAACTGGCTGATGAAAGTTTCTTTCTCTCTCCATTTCTGTAACTTTGCCTTAAGTTAGATTATTTTTATTTGTATTTGAAAGGCAGAGTCACAGAGAGAAGGGCGAGAGAGAGAGAGAGGGAGATCTTCCATCCACTGGTTCACTCCCCAAGTGGCTGGAGGTGAGACGATCTGAAGTCAGGAGCCAAGAGCTTCTTCGGGTTTTGCACGTGAGTGTAAGGGCACAATGACTTGGGCCATTCTCTTCTGCTTTCCCAGGCTACAAGCAGGGAACTGAATCGGAAGTGGAACAGCTGGAACTTGAACTGGCATTCACACGGAATGCTGGTGCCTCAGAGAGAAGCTTAGGCCTTCTCTGCTAGGGTGGTGGCCTCTGAATAAAATCTTAATGCATGTGAAATAGATATTCTATACTGAAGGGACCTGCATGGTGGTGTAGTAAATTAATCCTCCATCTACTAGTGCCAGCATCTCATGTGGGTGTTGGTTCATGTCCTGGCTCCTTCACTTCTCATCCAGCGCTCTGCTTATGGCCTGGAAAAGCAGCGGAGGATGGCTCAAGTTCTTGGGACCCTGTAACCGTGTGGGAGACCTGGAAGAAGCTCCTGGTGCTGGCTTTGGATCAGCTCAGCTCTGCTGCTGCAGCATTTTGGGGAGTGAACCAGTAAGTGAGAGATCTCTCTCTGTCTTACGTTCTCTGTAAAATCTGCCCTTCAAATAAAAATAAATCTCAAAAAATATCTATACTGATAACTGGATTCAAACACAGTGCTAGCATGCTTCCAAGGCCATTTTCTCCCTTCTGTCATATTTACTTACGGGGAGAAAATAACTGCCTGCTGTTGCGTTCTCCTTCTCTGCTTGGTGACTGGTTTGCAAGTCTCCCCAACAAGCTGTTCCCACCTTCACTCAGCTCTGGTGTAAAAGGCAATGGTGATGCTAACTCTGAAGACATGGCGTGCCATGGGGTACACACTTCATAAAGAAATAAACCTTCCGCGCTTGGGAAGCAATGTTTTACTTTGTTTTGTTTTTATCAGCAGCCAGATACTGAAGGTTAACCCTGAGTTTCATAACAGAAGTGAGCTGCTGGCACCACAGGACACACAGGTGGTTGAACAGTTGGTTACATTGCTGTGGTGGAGGAGGAGAGAGACACAGATTCCAGGACAAGGGTTCCAAGGTCACGGTCCTTACCTCTATATTCAACTCCTCGATGACTTGCTTGCTGGCATTGTATTTGCTGATGGTGGCTTCCAGTTGTGTAGAGTAACGCATCACCTCTTTTCGGATATTCTCATTTTCCTCTTCCATCTTTCTCAAATTCTCCTTCAACTACTCTCCCATTAAAGAGCAAAATCCAGAAAAGAAGTGTTGGTGCCAGGCTACTTCAAAAGCTCCAAGACTCTCGCTCTCACCCCGGGCTCTCCTCTGCCCCCCTCAGGACTGCAGGCTTTGTGGCTCGCCCAGTCACTTTTCCTCCCCCACCTTTCCTCTTTTCTCTGAGGTCTGAACCTGCAGCCTCTGCCTCCGTCCAGGACCAGGGCTGGATTCATCACCCTGCCTCTTTCCATGTTACCCTCTCACCATTTTCTCTTTCTTCTTCTCTTCCTCTCGCAAAGCCTCAAGTTCCTCCTCCAGCAACTTCTCCCGATCTTTGCTCTTTTTCAGTTGCTCCCGTTTCTCCTCCAGCGACTTTGTTGCCTCCTGGAGATCATCTTCCAGCTTGCTTTTGGCAGCGGCCAGCTCCCTTTGCTGAAAATAAGATTGGCTTGAAAGACAGTCTTGGACTGTGTGCAATTTGAGAAAAGAGATCCAGACAAATACATACAGGGAATGGCTGGAAATGAATACGAGGACAGCTCCATGTTTATATAACATCGGTAATAATAATAATAATAATAATATAATAATAATAAAAGGTCCAGGTTTGTGTTGAGACACAGCAGGTTAAACCACTACTTCAGACACGGGCATCCCACACTGGAATGCCAGGTTGAGTCCTGGCTGTTTTATTTCTGATCCAGCTTCCTACTAATGTATCTAGGAAAACAGTTGAAGCTACCCCAGGTAGTTTGCTCCCTGCTATCCATGGTGAGACTCGGATGGAGTTCTGTCTAGGCCTTTGGCTTTGGACCTGAGCCAGCCCCAGACACTGTAGTCATTTGGGGTGTGAACTAGCGAATGTGATACCTTAGATATCTTTCTCTTTGCCTCTTCCTCTATACCTTTCAAATAAGTAAATCTGATTTTAAAAAAGTGTCCTACAAGGTTGTGTGTTTTTGTTTGTTCAACTAGATTTAGCCATTTATCTTATTTATAGATCTAGTTCCCACAGCATTAGCCTTCTTGCCTAGTTATCAATTTTGTCCACATAAGACCTCTTTGAGTATACTTTTAGAAAATCTTACAAAAGCATAAAAATGGATAATTTAGAAATCAAGAATTCTAGATCGACAAGAATAACTTTTAAATTCTGCAAAGGATAACACTATCTTTTTACTACATTTAGGTCTAACTCTAGAAAGCACTTACTGTTGGTCATTAGCATGCCAATAGAGATTCTGTACAATTAATTTGTATGGATTTTTGTGGCGACACCTACCCAAACAGAGGCTAGTGTATTTAACTGTAAGCAGAACAAACACTTGAGCTGGTCGCTGCCTCCCTGAGGTTCATACCTGGTGCTGAATGAGTTGGATACGATCTAACATGTCATTTATTTTCATCTCTTGTTCCTCTGCTGTCTTACGAAGCTGCCTGTTCTCTTTCTCACAACTTTCATTCTTCCTCAGGGCCTCAGAGAACTCAAATGTCAGCTCCTCTACCCGTTTCCTTAAGCAAAATGACAACAGGAAGATGGACTTTAGTGGAGCTGGGTCTAAAGGGAGCCCTTGCTCCCGCCCCCGGGTAGCCACCCACAGTGGTCCTGGCACAGCTTCTTCTGGCCATGGGCCTGTGGTACCTGTTGACTGTGAGCTCCTCCTCAGCCATGGTGAATTCCTTCTGCAGCTTCTGGAGGTTTTTCTGTAGTTCCTGGATGGTTTCTGCCTTCTGTTTGTCCAGGAAAATGCAGCTTTGCAGTTTCCTCTGAGCATCCTCCAGGCTGACCTGGGCCAGCCTGGCTTCTTCCTTATACTGGGTTACCTGCTGAGCTGCAGAAGCCAAAAAATGAGCCAGGGGATACTCGTTTAAGAAGCGAGTGTATGTGTGAAGATCCGACTCTCAGAGGAGACTAGCTATAAAGTTCTTTCATTTTGGGGGCCTACTTCAATCCTCCAACTGTCCTCATTTCTCACCATTTTGTTACCAGTCTTCAGGAGTCCACTAAGTTATCTGTCCTCAGCTGCCCTCCAGCCACTAACTCCTTCATTACGAAAGTTAAACAGATTTGTAGGAATTGCACAGTATCTCCAGCTTGACTCATCTGTCATGAGGGACAATTCCTGGTCTAGAGAGTCTGCAGAGGGAACTCTAACCTCCTCATCAGTCACATGGAAAACTGAACTGTGGAATTGCTACTGGTGGTAAGCTAGGAGAGAGGGCAAGGTGGGTTAGAACAGTTGGAGATGGACGCATATAGGAACAGAGCTTGGGGTTGTCTTGGAGGAAAGCAGTTTTTAGGCGATGGAGAGGGAGGATCTCAGAGCAGCTGAATGGCGAGGGAATGGAACAGGAAGGTGGCACAGAGAAAGAGGCCAGATGGAGTGGAAAGGAGCGTGGGGTTAGGGGACGGCAGACAGCAGAGTTGGGTCAATGGGATGCATGGAGGCAATTTGGGGGGACTTTGCAAGCCAAAAGTGGTTTAGTCTTGATATGTGGGTTCCTGGGAATGGACCTGAAATAAAGATAGTTAAGGACAAGTGGAACATGTTAGAGTAGACAAAGACGGCAATTCGCTTTTAGCCCACACCCAGCCTTCACTGGATTTGAAGGGAAAGCATGGTTCCTCTCATTCCCTCCTGCAGGTACTTGGGCCTGGGACAATAGAAAAAGATATTTTCCTATGGAAGTGATGATACGAAGAAGGAGGGAGGAAAATTCTGTTTTCAAGGCAGTGGTTAAGGGGAAGAGAACATGTCCAGTTTTGGAAATGTTGAGTCAGAAGAGATGTGTTGCTTAGGGAGCGCATCATGAAAGAGTCTGACCTCAGCTGTCAGTCAGTAGGGGGGGTGTACGTTTCGGAGCTCTGTGCAAATACCTGTAGCTATAAGGAAGAGGCGAACAACTCAGAGGGTGAAGACATGAGTACAGGGCACAGTCTTAGCTCATGGGTAGCCGTGGTCAGAGCAGGCAGGAAAGTAAAGATGAGATTTGTGGAAGAACACGGCACCCACCATGTCTCCAAGATTGGTTTGGTGTGAAGCTACAGAGTGATAGGTGGGTGAAAAGGGGGATATCAAGCTGTGTGTGGTTTAAAAATACTGATAACTATAATTCACAAAAATCTCCCCTTTTAAAAGGTGAACACTTCTGTGGTTTTCTGCACTTATTGCTGTTATCTCATACAAAGAAATTCTGTACCCAAGGCAAGATTCCTGGTGACCTCTGCGGAAGCCATGCTGCAGAGGGTCAAGGCACAATGCCCAGGGAATGCATGCTGAGGTTGAAGGAGAGAAGGCCTCCAAACCCAGGGGGCAGAGATGTGAACTGTGTCGCAAAAGGCCTAGAGAAGGCAGAGGGGAATGTCGTGTGGGGCCCAGCCCAGGGCTGTGTCATCCTTGGGACCAGGAAGGGACAGGCTCCTCATCAAAGCTGCTGAGAGGTGGCTGGGTGTGTGAGCTCACCTTCCCAAGTGGAGGCCCTGCTAGGTGGGGAACACTTCAGAGCGGAAGCGACGGTGGGGACGCATGCAGGTGTTGGAGAGGGTGGTGGTCACCACTGAGAAGCAAGATGAGACTGTGAGAAAGGCCTGGAATAGGATGCTGGAGGACCAGCTGAGATGGCCACTTAGGGAGTGAATAGGGGACTGTTGGAGCCCAGGGGACTGAAGCACGGTGGGGACAGTGCCTGTTGGTGGCCTTACCTGCCAGCTTCTGCTGCTGTTTGGCCTCTTCGAGACTGTCCTTCAGCTTCTCCACCTCAGCCCGCAGGGCCCCACACTCCGCCTTGGAGTTGTTTTGCTTTGCCTCCTTAACGGTCACTTCGAGCTCTGTTGTTCGAGCTAGCTGCTTCTCCAGCTCCATCTCTTTTTTCATGACATTGTTTTGAATCTGAGTCAGTTTCCTCTCTAGTTCATGTAGCATTTCATCTTTCTCTTGGAGTAACTGAGAGGGGAGCAAAGTGTGAATGCTCAGAGAGGCCAGAGGAGTGGTGGGTAAGGTCAGTGTGAGATTGGTTGAGCCCTCCTGGGAGACTGCCTCATCTTGCCTGGATGTTGCAATAGCCTCCTATCCACTCTTCCTTCCTCCATATCTGTTCCTCTCAGGCTATTCTCCTCATGCAGCAGCCGGCAGGCGGGGCGGAGGGGGGAGACGTTATATCTCTGCTGAAAACCCTCCATTGGCAAACATCTCCCTTGGAAAATGACTTCTTGGGATGCTTCATGATCTGGTTCCATCTGACCTCACCTCCTGCTAAGCCCTGCCTCTCTCTGTGCCAGGTGATCTCTGGGGACTCTCCAAATAGACTCTACCTTAGGTCATCGCACTTGCTCCTCTGCCTAGAATATTCTTCCTCAAGGCCACAATCTCGATTCTCCTTTAGTCATTCAAACTTTGTCCAAATACCACCGTTATCTGAGAGGCCATACTTGACTAGCTGTATAAAACAGCTACCAAGCTAATTCAGGAACTGATTTGACAGGAATGTATCAGTATTACACAGAGTTTTGTCATTTATTCATCCTCTGTCTCCCTGTACTGGAATGAAGCTCCATGAGAAAGGGACCCTGCAAATTTTTGTTACATTCTTGGTGCCTGGAACAACGCTTAGTAGCTCCAGGTGCTCAAAAAGACTTGCTGAGTAAACAATGACTGGATGACTCCCTGCTTCTCCTCACCCTCTCTAAGCACCTCCATTCTCATTGGTAGGTTTCCTCTGTATCATGCGGCAGGTGCTGTTAGTGACCAGCCAATCAGCTAGATCGTTTTTGATAGTTTTGATAGTGCAGAGGGAGAATGGCACTGACTATAAAGCTTGCACTGGTTTTACAGCACTTCTGTTCTTAGTTCTGTTTCTATGCTTCCTCAAGAACTACAGATATTACAGGTTCTTTCAGTGCTTCCAGACTGCCTGACTTGCATATTCATAAGGTATTTGTAATATAAAACTGAAATTCACTCGAAACTTTCAATAAGGCTACATGTTATTTTACAGCATTTCCTTGTGCTGTCAAGCATTGAAAAAGCAGAGGGGGACAGTGAAGTGTATCCCACTGCTACACTGCAGAGCTAGGGAAGAACCTCTTCCTCATAAAGTCATTACTGTGTACCACAAGAACGATCAAGGAAGTTCTCCCAATGGGCCTGGAGCCCTCAGCCTCCTTGTGTATGCACGGAGCTTCCCAAAACCATCATAGAGGAGAAGTAAGAGAAAGCCACTCATGTGGAGGCTTGGCCTCACCCCTGCCCTGTCCTGTGGTCTCACATCTGCCCTGTCAAGTGACCTCACCCCTGCCCTGATCTGTGGTCTCACTCCTGCCCTGTCATGTGGCCTCCCCCCTGCCCTGTCCTTTGATCTCACACCTGCCCTGTCACGTGGCCTATACCTGTCCTGTCACGTGGCCTCACCTCTGCCCTGTCCTGTGGTCTCATACCTGCCTTGTCCTATGGTCTCACACCTGCCCTGTCATGTAGCCTCACCCCTGCCCTGTTGGTGGCTCGAACCAGTGTCCTTTCCTTTACCTTGTCTTTCTTCAAAGCCAGCTTTTGGTTCTCCGTGAACTGCAACTGCAGCTCCTGCAGTCGGTGTTGCAGGAGGAGAGCCTCCTTGTCTTTCCGCTCAATGTGTGCAGATGTCTCTTCCCGCAGTCCGTGCAAGTCCAGCTCCAGCTTCATCATGTCTGAAGGCAGTGATACGGGGTGTTGCCTGTCAGAGGGGGCTCTGCCCTTATGTGTCCCCCCCGCCCCCAGTCAATCAGCCTCTGTTCTACCCTTCATGATGTTTTTCTTCTGCTCTGACACAGCTTCTAGCTCCATGCGCAGGTCCTTCACAAGGTTCTGGTACTCCTCCACATGCAGGCACTGGCTGTCCTTCTGCTCCTGCAAGTGCTTTAGTATCTGCCAGGTGAGAGAAGAACAGGGCAGGCTGAGGACAGGGAAAGAAGGCTTTCTAAACTGGCCAGGTCCAGAATATGACAATGCAGACGCAGGTAGCAGTGGTGGCCAGAGGCTGGGGGTGGGGGAGCCAGACGACTGCTAATGAGTTTCTTTCTGGGATGATGAATGTTCTGAAATTGATAACTGACTCCAAACATCAGGAGGATGCTAAAAAACAATGGTGGATTTTATGGTTTGTCAATTATATCTTAAGCATTTGTAGGTAATGAAACCCAAAGATATGGCAGACTTTTCATGTTCATTAAACTGTGGACAAGAGAAATAAATCCCTCTTTCCTTGTAATGGTGTCACTTATGGAGCACCTGCTATGTGCCAGGCACTATTCAAGGTTTTTGGAAGAGTGGTGCAGAAAGCAGACACAAATCATGGCTCTACGGAGCTGACCATTTAGTAGGTGACACAGCGTAACAAGTAGTGACTCAGGGAAAACGTCAAACACTGGTAAGTGCTACAGTAGGAAGAGAGAAAGGGAGGTGCATGTGTTGGTGTGTGCTGCAGTTTTAAGTGGCAGGTCAGACTCAGGTTTCACTGGAAAGGTGGCCTCCGAGTGGGGATTTGCTGCATGTTGAGAAGTGAGGCATGTTGCAGGTGTCAGAGCTGGATGCTGAGGGACTAGCCACTGACAACACCTGAGGGCAAGGAAGGACCCAGAGGAGGATGCAGGTAGAATATGCTGAGAATGGGGCAATTAGGAGATGAGGTAGGGGTGTTCTGAGTGGCCACAGTGTATAGTTTGCAGACCCTATGCAAGATCTTTGGCTTCCACTTCAAAGAAGGTAATGCTTCCCTGATACAGAAGAGGCAGACACAGGTGGCCAAGGAGAGAGAGTTTGCTACCTGCGCAGCAGTGGATGCTGGAAAAGGTGTTTGTGTGATTTCAGAGTTGACAGAAGGGAGAGCAATACTATGAAGTCTGGAGGTAATGGCTGGAGAAACACAGGACAATCCCCACGTGACCCAGATGTGGACACCGCGTGGCCTCAAGGGCCCACACAAGGCTGTGCCAATAGAGAGGAGGACAGAATCACTGGAAGAAACGAGGTAGGGATATCCAAGTTCTCACAGAACATGTGGGTAGCAGGAAGGCTTTGTTAGGGAGAAACAAAATGGTGAGTAAGAGCATGTTCTTTGTCTTGGGAAAATCTATCATTTAAAACAGTGGAAAGGCGAGGAGTCCTGCTGTAGGGTAGGATGTGGGTATAAGTAAACAGACCTTTAGAATAAATATCGAATTATGTCCAAGGGGAGGTGGGGACTATCAAGTTCACTGCTGATTCAACTTTCTGGGAATGGCAGTGCCTGGAGACAGAAATCTCTGTCTCTCCCACTACAGGGTTCTTGGAGAGCAGAGATGTGCTGTTCACAACCACCTTGGCACCAGGCAGCACACCATCTTGGGGCATGAAGATATGCTATCACTAGCCCAAAGCATGGTCTCCCACCTTTTTGATGTCTTCACAGTCTTCGGAGGAGCTGGGAGGATGTCTGTGGGTGGCTGTGTAGGAAGCAAAGTCGGCTTGTAATTTTATTAAAGCCTCTTCACGTTCCAGCACCTGTAGATGAGCACAAGTCAGTTAGGCCGAGCGCTCAAGCAGCATGCTGCTGCCTACTGGTGTCTTCGTAGCGTGAGTCTGTTGGGTTATGACTCGTCACACGCGCCCTGTGTGGTGGGCAGGGAGAAGGAACGCTCTCTCGGTCTGGTGTCACTGTCCTCTTAGACACAGATGGCACATTGTCTCAAGTCTCTTGGAGACCAGATCTCTGGTGGGGTCCAGTGTATGAGGCAGAACAAAGTCCTTTGGAGGCTATGAAACAGTCAGAGGGTGTGATTCACAAATGGAGAATTAAGGCAGGCAGTTTCTTGGGAGAGTGTATGTATGTGTGCATTTTTTTTTTTTGAAAATTAAAAAAAGTGAAAAATTTGTTTCATTTTCATGTTATTCTGAACTTGTTTTTGAAAATAATTCAAATAAACTCAATCATCAGAAGTAAGTCAAAATGTCTTATTCTCTCCTCTTTCATGTCCACCAAGTTGGGAAAAGACACCATTAAAAAAATTTGTCATATGTAATTCTATATTATGGGTGGAGATTTTAAAACACAGGGCTGGAAGTGAACTATGTGTGAGACTCTGCAAGCTGCTCGCAACCCTGTCAGAAATACTGCCATCCTTTTTCTGGCTGCATAGGATTCTGTAACAGGCGTACCTTCTTCACCATTTTTCTTAATCGCTTTAGTCATTTGCCTGCTGGTGGCACGGAGGTTGATTAGTGGGTGGTGTTGTCACTTCACATGGCCAGGGGTGATGCACACCAGAGAACAAGGGCAATAAATGGGCGAGTACATGACGGGTTTTGGAGGAAAGTCCTTGGTGAGTCCTTTCGGTGACTCTTGCCCCAGGTTTTGCTTCCTGGCAGCTTTGGTGGGAATCTCCCAGAAGACCGTTCTAGAAGAAGGTACTCACCAAAGCATTGCTGCAGGCCAGCTTGTTTCGAAGCTCCTGGATGAGGTCGTCCTGCTCAGAAACCTTCTGCCAGACTTCGGAGAGTCGTTTCAGGGTTTCCTGATGCTCTTGAATCATGCAGGAGGATGTGTAGATACGCACCTTGGAGTGGTCACCCTTGTTCTCCGGCTCCTGCGATGGACGTAAACAATGGGTTGGTTTTGTGTATATTTTGTGAGTTACAACTTCAGGTTCCGTAAGCGTGGAAACATCTCTAGCTCTACATTCCCAAAACCTGCTTGTATAAGAGAGGCATGGCTTCCTTAATAAAAGACACACTAACTAGTGCATGCACACGGTAAGCAGATCCAAACGACTCACAAGAGAACGCATAACGGTCCACGGATCAGGCCAGCTCCTCCGTGACAGCCTGCTACCAGCATTCTTGCTATCCTTGCGGGCATAATTCACACACATTTGCAGGGGTATATATATGTGTTTATTTAACACTTCTTTCCATTACATAAGTAAGAGTTTCCTACGAATGTTGTAAACATCATGTTTTCACCTTGCAATTTAGGAGAGCTTTTAATTTATTATTTATAGATCTAGTTTTTTTTTTTTTTAATTTCATATTATACAAGTGCTCCTGCCTATGCTGTGCTTACTATACATTGTAACATTATGGGCAGGTATACATTTTTTGGTTATCTTCTCAAATCTCATATTCTCGTCACTCTCAAGAGATGATAAATTGTGCATGTCACTCTAGAACTTTATACTCTTACAGCATATAAAGGAACACACAAAATATTGATTATGCTACTTTCTTAAAACAACAATCATTATTTTTTGCTTATTAAAACATCTTAGTGATTTGTCCATATAAACACATCCACTTTTATTTTGTTCTTTTACATATTTATCTAGTTTCTTATTAATGGGGATGTAGGTTGCTTCCAGGCCTTTTTTTTCCCCCTTTAAAATGAAGCTTACCCCAGCTGTAGGCAACTGCATAGGTTGTATTATGCCTAGGCAAATGTAACATTGCTGGGAGAAAAGCAGCTAATAATTGGCGGGCATCCTGGTCCTGGTTAATGCCAACTTTGTGTTAGCTATACCTGTGTACCAGCATAGTTGTCTATATAAATATTTAAAGATGTGTGGGGGGCAGATGCCTGCATGCCAGCAGACAGGGTCTGAGCATGTGGGGCTCTGGGAAGGCAGGCAGGGTTCCAGGCTGGTATGGTAACTGCCAGAGGACCTGGCTTGGGGATATGCATGCCAGTGGGCATAGGAGTCCGTGGATTGCTCAGAGAATGGGTCTGGAGATGTGAGGGAACAAGGACTGCTGAAGGAGAACGTGACAGTTAAGAAGTGATTTCTGGGGGATCTCCACAACCAGGCTACTGCATTTGCAGGTAAATGAAGGAGCTGAGACCAGGTAGTTTAGAGGAGGGAAACTGGAGGACCTTTTGAGGCCAAACCAATACACTTGCCCATGTAGGAGACCTGAGCTGAGCTTGCTGACATCAACCACTGCCTACCAGTGCATATGAAAGCCATGGCTGGGGGTCTACCTGGCAGGGCTTGACCACAGTACTTACCAGTGAGTGTCAAGGCAGAGTGTGGACCCTGTTATGCTGGGCCATGACACTAATCAGCTCATGACAGAACTGAGTCTGGGAGCAGGTTCTGTGGGGATTGTGGATTCACCCCTGTGGGACTGCCATACCAGCTGGTTTGCTCAAGGGCTGGATGAGGTGATGAGCTGAGCTAGGCATGACCATGGAACTCACAAATACTTTAGGGGTATTGGGATTGGGCACAGGCTAGGCTAGTTTAGGCTATAGCACCTGCAGGTACACGCAAGTGTTGGGTGTGGGTTGGGCCAGGCTGCAACATCCAGTAATAAGCACAAAGTCTGACACTGGGAGGAAGGTTGTTGGGTAACGGCCTAGTACCCACGGGCACATGTGAGATCTGGGTCCTAGAGTGGGCCCGTTGGGGGAATTTGGGAAACTTCCCCAGTGGGCCATTGTTCCTACTGGTGAGTATGTGAGTCAGGGCTGGGTGTTGGTCAGGCTGGGCAGGGCTGCGTCACTTGTTAGGTGTGTGGGTTGGCTCTGTAGGGGGCAAGACTGGGCTTGGGCCAGGCTAAACCACAGCACACCGCCATGTATGGGAGCCAGGATGGAGTGTGGGTCATGCAGAGCCAGGCTAGGCTGTCACACCTACCCATCTGCATGAAAGCCAGAGATGGGGGCAGGCTATGTAGGGCTAAACTGCAGCACCTACCAGCGAGAGTTGGGATGGGGAGAGGGCCAGGTTAGGTTAGGCTGCAGCATTTGATGACAAGGGCCAAGACAGGTGATAGGTTATGCTGGGCTGGGTCAAAACAACTATTAGCATGCCAAGTTCTGTGGCTGGGAGCGAGCCTGGTTGGGGAGCTAAGGGGATACCCTGTCTGTGTTGCCTTTTCCAGCAGTTAGCATGAGAGCCAGAATGGGGGCAGTGGACTGGGCTGGACATGACTACAGAAGCTGTTGGCATGGGGCATGCTAGATGGGGTTACGCTCCAGCAACCATTGCTACTCACAAGAGTCAGTGTGGGTGTAGGATAGGCTGGACTTGGTCTTGGCACCTGCTGAACAATATGAGATTAGGGTCTGAGGGTAGAACAGGGAGGGCTGGGCTGTAGCGCCCAACAGTAAGAGCCAAAACGAGTGTGAGCTGGTTTGGCAAGGCTGCTGTACCTCCAGGGCAGGAGGTGGGCCAGGTCAGGCCGAGCCAAGAATCTACCTGTGTGTGTGTGAGATCTGGCACCGGGATGTTACATGATAGAGGAGCTTAGGGAACTCCTCTGTCAGGACACAATCCCTGAAGGTGAGCATAAGAATCAAGGCTGGGAGCAGCTCAGACCAGGTCAGGTTACAACATCTACTGGCTTATGAGTGGCTCATGTCTCGGGGTAGGTCAGGCTCAGCTGGGCTATAGCACCCACCAGCATGAGTTGGAACTGGGAGCAAGCCCAGAAGAGGAGCTGCGGAGGTTCATCTGCTGTGCCACTGCTCCCTCTTGTGAGCATGAGAGCTGGAAATGGGAGCCAATTAGACTGGGCATGGTTACAACACCCATTGGCCTGCATGGGAGTTGGATTACCGGGACTACCAGGCTGGGCTAATCGACTGGTGCATGTATGAGCTAGATCAACTGCCCCAGCCAAGAGTTGGCAGTGAATATCTGGGCAAATGGAGACTCTAAGGTGGACTATGTCAGCCAGTGGATTCTGGAGAGATTTCATCGTGATTGGAGTGCAAGATTGGCTGCAATACAGAACTGTTGAACTATCAAAGCCACTTGAGCAGGACCCTTGGATCATGTTGCACATTGGAGACCCTGGGATGGCTGGGAGGCTGGGTGTGGCTTCTCTGCTTATCTTTCCCCTCCCCCCAGGTAGTGGAAGGAAAGAAGGGAATGTGAAAACAATGGTCTCACCCACTTTTCTCTAGCCCTTGACTCTTCGCACCCAAATAAAAGATGTAAACATTATCAAAAATAAAATTTATATAAAAAGTCCTCCTCCAGATCGTGTGAAATCATGCCTGAAGGTTATTCTCCTCTCTTTGGTCTGTACTAATCATGGGGTGAAGTCATGCACATAGTTACAAACAAAAAGAGCAAAGAGTTCTAGATTCTTTCCCCATTAGACTTGTCTCCTTAACTGGGCTTTTTGGGCCGAGTTAGAAATAGTCCATGTTCACTGAGCATGAAAGCTACCTATGATCCAATTGCAGAAAGGTCAGTCAGAATCTAAAACTGACCACAAATCATGTCCACATAAATAATTCAGTGTATAAGCGAGCAAAGAAATGAAAAACGTAATAGAAAAGTTGAGGAACAGGAAGACGATATCTGTAGGCTCCAATAAGGATTGAAAAATGGAAATGGATGTTAAAAGTAACAGAAGAATAATTCCCTGAATGGGAGAAAAATGTAGATGCTTGAAAGAGTCAGTTAAGTGTTGAGAGGTTTAATGAAAAACAAAGAACACCCTGAGCTAACTGCTCCAGACTTCAGAGAGATAAAGTAAGTGATTGGCAAAAGTTACAGAGCAGTTGGAAGGCCACTGCGCTCATCTTAAATACTGACACAGACAACACAGCAGTAGCTTCCTACATTTAAGTGAAGGTGCTTTTCCAAGCTTGTAAATATATAACCAGAATGGCATTCCAGGATGATGGCAAAATAAAAAAAGTTGCATCTATAATTGCTTTTAAAGAAATTAAGAAATTATTCCAACAGAAGGAAAAACCCAAGAATGCAGAAGATATAAAAATATTACCATTGAGTACATGAATGAGGAAAATTGTAATCTTAGAAACAAATACTCTATGTTATGTAAACATTTTGAGAGATTAGCCTCCACTGGTATTTCATATGGGGACTGCTTTGTGTCCCGGCTGACCCACTTCCCATCCAGCTCTCTGTTTATGGCCTGGGAAAGCAGTGCAGGAAGGCCCAAGTCCTTGGGTCCCTGCACTTAAGTGGAAGACTCGGCAGAAACTTCTAGCTCCTGGCTTTAGATCAGCTCAGTTCTGGCCATTGCAGCCGTTTGAGGAGTGAATCAGAGGATGGAAGATCGGTCTCTGTTTTTCCTTCTCTCTATAAATCTGCCTTTCAACCTTTCAATTAAAAACAAAACTTGCTTTAAAAAAAAAAAGGTGAAAAACTTTCTAGCTCATCATCATAGGACAACATAATTTAAACACCAGTATAAGAATACAAAAATACAAGGGCCTGGCGCGGTGGCGCAAGTGGTTAAGGTCCTCCCCTTGCACGCCCAGGATCCCATATGGGCACCGGTTCTAATCCCGGCAGCCCCGCTTCCCTTCCAGCTCCCTGCCTGTGGCCCGGAAAAGCAGTCGAGGACGGCCCAAGGCTTTGGGACTCTGCACCTGTGTGGGAGACCCGGAAGAGTCTCCTGGCTTCGGATCGGCATAGCACCGGTGCGCTCACTTGGGGAGTGAATCATCAGATGGAAGATCTTCCTCTCTGTCTCTCCTCTCTGTATATCTGCCTTTCCAATAAAAAAAAAGAATCTTAAAAAAAAAAAGAATACAAAAATACAAGCCATCAGAGGATTTCATTTCTGAAAACAGATGCAAAAAATAAAATGTTCATAAATGTTGTAAGCAGATTATTAAATAACATATCATGTTCTAGTAGAGCTTATTGGAACACAGGGGGTGGGTGTTTTGTGTATGAAAACAGACTGATACAATTTGCTCCTTAAAGAAGTTTTGTGATTATCTCGGTGCTCACAAAGACATGTTCAAATTCAATATTCATTCCTGCTTAAGAAAATTCTTCATGTGCTAGATATGGACAATCACAATTCAAGTTGAATAGGATGTTAAGCAACCAAGTATAACAGGAAACTGTCATACTTAATAGTGAAATACCAGGAACATTTCCTTGAAAATGAGCAACAAGACAAGACGCTATGATTCTACATTGCTCTGGAAATTCTGGTCGATGTGATAAGATGGAGAGTCGTTGTACAATTTTTGAAAGGGAAAGCAATTTAGAAAAAAATCAAAGATTTTTCAACTGGAAACCTGATAAGAGAGCCTGATTAAGGTGGCAGGAAAAGAGATAAGTCTTCTAACAAATCAGTAAGACTTAATACATTTAAAAGCATTAAAGATCTCATTCATAAACCCAATAGCAACTATAATATATCTAGGAAAAGAATTACCAGGGGAATACATGAGATTACTGAGGAAAACATACGAACATTTGAATAGAAGTTGAAGAATGTCACGTTCCAAAGGACATGCTAATTTTTCCCAAATTAATATATTATTTTAAAGTCAGTCAACATAAACCTAAATTTCATCCAGGAAAAGCATACAAAAAGGGTGAAGAAAAAAATGTGGAAGTATAGAATGCCGAAGGCAGATCTGTTCTGGAAGGAGCTGTCAGAACCTGGTGTTAGTAAGAGTCATGAAAACCTCTGACCTGGAAGCAGATCAGAAGACATCACACATCCAGAATCCAGCAGGAGCCCCGTGCACGGGGGATCGGGGCCAGGGAAGCAGGCAGCAGAGGTGGGGACGTTCAGTAAGTGGCGTGGAGACAACTGGAAATCCATTTTGACTGACATGAGATAAGAGCCTTATCTTGCTATATACATAAAACTTAAATCTCTATTCTAGATGGACTGAAGATAAAAACACAAAAGTGGAAAAAAATAGAAAAATACTTAAAATCTAAATTAAATTTTTTTTACAATCTTGGGCATAGAGGAGGACTTCTAAAGCCAGATATAAAATCTAGAAAATACAGAGACAGACTGATGTTTTGTACTCCAGGACAACCAAGAACTTCAACATGGTGAAAAATAACCATTTATAAAGTAAGATGAAAAATTACAGACAGTGAGAAAATATCTGCCACATATGTAACGAGAAGTTCCTATAAATCAATACAGACAAGACTAATAACCTAACAAACATGAGTTAGTAATTCACAACATGAAAATTCACGTGGTGGATGTGAACAGTCCTCCACACTCAGAGTGGTGGAGACCGAGATGTGCCGTCCAGATCCCTTGCTTGGCCATGCGAGACTTATTGCTGGAAGCGCTACTCTCACCTGTCAGCCCTTTCTGCCTTGCCTGAGGTGACACTTCTCCCGGGAGGCAGTCAACATTTAGTAACTGTTCGACAAGGAGGTACAGAGGTCAGCTCTCTTTTCTCAGTTTAGGGCTATTCTGAAGGATGAACCAACCTCACAGCTCCCCATGGTTCAGCTGAGGCCTTTATTAAAACAGGATTTGAGGGGCCTGTGTTGTAGCTCAATAGGCTAATAATCCTCCACCTGCAGGCATCAGCATCCCAACTGGTTTTGGTCCTGGCTGCTCCACTTCCCATCCAGCTTCCTGTCTGTGACCTGGAAAAGCAGTTGAGGATGGCCCAAAGCCTTGGGACTCTGCATCCATGTGGGAGAACCAGAAGAAGCTCCTGGCTCCTGGCTTTGGATCAGCTGAGCTCTGGGCATTGTGGCCACTTGGGGAGTGAACCAGCGGATGGAAGATCTTTTTATCTTCTCTCTGTAAATCTTACTTTCCAATGGGAAAAAAAAAGGTCTTCAAAAAAGAAAAAGACTGCATTAGAGGGAAGTTCTTTGGCATTACATGTAAAAAGCTGCCTTGAGATGCCTGCATCCCATATTGGAGGGCTTGGGTTCAAGGTCTGGCTCAGTTTTTAATGCCAGCTTCCTGCTAATGCATTCATTCCCTAGAATGATGCCTTCAAGCACTTGGGTGCCTGTCATCCACATCAGGGACTCGGAAGGAGTTCTAGATTCCTAGCTTGGCCTGGCCCAGCTGTTGGGGCCACTTTGGGGAGTTACACAGTGGACCGAAGAGCCCTCTCTGCCCCTTTCTCTCTTTCTTTCAAATAAAAACAAACAAAAAACAGTTAAGACTGCATCATAGTTCTATTTCTCTTTCTGCGCAATCTTGTTTCCTTCCTTTTACAGTGAATACCAACAGTTTCCCTAGATAAGTCCAGCGGACCATTCTGCTTTTAGAGTCTGCTATTCAGGGAATCCAATGAAGAACATGAAAACTGTAATGGGAAAATATTTCTGTTTTCACCAACTACTTTAGCACAACTTAGATGAAAAAACATCTAATGCAGTGAGTGTGAGGAAATAAAACTCCCTTCGTTATTGTTAGTGAAGGTAGAAACCACACTGGTAGATTCTTTTTGGAATACATTTCAGAAGTATCTTAAAATTTTACAAATGAGCATATCTTTTGACATAGCAACCCTCCTTCAGGAATTAGCCAGTAAAAAGGGAGGATGTCTGTTACAGCTTGTTCATGACACAGAGAGCAAAAAATAAAAAAATCAGAAGAATAGCCATAGTGGCCAGGCATACCATAGAATGCAAAGCAGCAATTACAAGAAGTTGTTAATGTACACACTCTAAAAGCAAGTTGTATAAAACCACATTTATAATGTTATGCACTTATATAAAAGGAGCCTCTAGCCACTCTTTTTTCGAAATATAAAAGAACATTTTGATTCACATCTTTAGAACTATAAAGGACATTCGTTATTTTGGAAAAGAAACTACCAAAGAGCAAGGAAGAATCATCTATTCTATGTCTGGTCTCTCAGAAACAGAACATCACCAGCAATTTTTTTCCCCACATTATTTTTTATCCATGTATTCACTTCAGTCTACTTTCCCTTTCACATATGCTTGAGATCTTCTCTATGTGCAGACATGTCACATCTCTGATGCTTGGCTAGCATACTGACATTCTGTGCCATGTTGCCTGTTGATGGACATTATCCATTTGGTATACAAATGAGTGCCACATCTCACTTGTAGATAGGGAAAACATTGCGATTAGATTTTTCCCTTTTACCTGTCTCACGACAGGGTCCTGACCCACTCTCTTTAGGAATTGCACATGAATCAGAAATCTTTGAAGAACCAAACTACTAGCTATTTTGGAAGTACCTGTCACACAGGAATTCAGGGTATGACCTCTTCTTTCTTTTCTTACAATTGAATCTTTATGATTTCCTGATGCTATCCTTAACCTTGTATATGTGTAACTGTATGTGAAAAGCCCTGGGAAGATTCCAAAAACATGATTGAAATGATAATTTAACTGGGTAGAGTAGAAGGGAGAAGGCCAGATTGAGTTTCATATTTAATTGTTATACTTTTGTCTTGAGAAAGTCATACACGCAATTAAAAAATTAAAAATAAAAGAGGAATTCAGGCATCTTGGTGCTTCTGTCCCCCGTTTCATGGCTTTTTCCTGCAGTATGATGCTGAAGGTGTGGTGTTCCTGAGCCCTGTGATGTGTAAGGACCGTTACTGAATCTCGGTGAGGACATGGAAGGCTGGCACACTCATTTGATCATTCTCTTTCTGCTCTATTCGAACGGTGCCTCAAAGCTGCTGAGGAGTAATCTTCACGGAGATGAGGAGGTTGGGAATTCAGAAGCTTAGGTCTACACAATGCAAGCAACCTGCTTGGGTTTGTGTTTCCAGTGGAAGAGGCTGGACCTATTACAGGGACCCATCTTAGCTGAGCGATCTGCTTGAAGTCCTACCTGACTGATGAGCCCGCTAAGCTCTCCTTCCAGCATCTTCACTTGGCACTCCAGTAACTCGATGTTGCTCAGGGAAGTCTGGTATTTGTCCCTGTAAAGGTTTAAGCTCCTCTCCAGGGAGACAATCTTGTGCTCAGCCAAGGCAAGCTGCTCCTGGGCCAAGTGGAGCTTTTCTCCTGTGTTCTCATTATGACTTCCCATTTCTTCCTCATAGAGAATCACCTGTTAGTGTAGAAAGGAGACCATGCTGAACTCATGGAAGCATTTAGTGAGGGAACGACATAAGTGGAGCAGTCTTACATACAACAAGGAAACCCTAATAAGCATAACAGATACAACACATACCTGAATGCTATAAATACTCAATACTGGGATGTCAGTGGTTAGGAATAAAAAGTTCGTCCTCTTTGGAGACAAGCACGGTAAAGACAGGGATTACGTCTATTACTCATTCTGCTGGCACGGGCTAAGGACTGCTTGCTAGCTGATTAGTGGGAATGCCTTTGCAGAGGTCTGTTTTTTGAGGACTTCAAATGCCAGGGCTTTCACAGGCATTCTCAAAAGGTTGTGTTCAGGAAGTAGAGAGAGTCCCTGCTGGCCACAGGTCCATATTGGCAGAATCCCCATGGCTGAGTGGGAAGGCAGGACCCGAAGTTCATCTGTTACATGATCCTCATTTAGATTCCTTTTTCCTAATCAATGGATTAGTTTCTGAACTCAGGAATAATTATTGGATATTCCTGAGTGTTGTGTTCGATACAGACAGGATAAACATGTAAAAGTCATTGGCTCAGTCTCATAAAACTTAAACTTTAAAAAAATGATGACACTCTTTTAATCTATTCTCTTAAAAATGTTCTTAATACAACCCCTCCCCCCCACTAATATATAGTCTGGCACAATTGCGATTTAAAATCTACTAACTATGCTTTTTAAAGTATAAAATGTGGACATTTAACTACCATCTATGTTCTTGCTCTGAGCTCTGATTCCTTATTTTGAAGAGACATTAGAACCGAATGTGAGGGAATAGAATCAGACTTACCATGGAGTAATAAAAATAAATATTTCCTGGATAGCTCAAAACATACTTTTCCATGCGTTCCTAACAATTCCCAAATATTCATAGCTGTGCAGAATCTAAAACTCTTAAAGTCTTGAGGAGACAAGACTTAAGATGAGCATGCTTCTGTATGTAATTGAGTGTGTTAAATTTTATGGCTTGAATTATAGGTGTTGAAGGAGTTAAGAAGACTTCAGATTTGTTCAAATAGCTCAGTACAAAATGCTGATAGAACCTATTCCATTAGTTTAAACTAATTATACTTGCTGCCTATCTTTGGAGGTTCTTCTTAGGAAAGGATGATTTAGTTCAAGGTGTATTAGCAAGGAAAGGAGACTATTTTAAATTCAAACGTTTATAGCAGAGGTCATTGGGGATCTGTTCATCTCCCCTTAGCTCTCACTATTTTCTTTGCATTGTAAACCATGCTAACTGCAAACTCTTTGCCCGGGGCCTTCACTAGCCCTGCGAACACACTCAACCAGAGGGGCTGGACAGGGTAGGTTAGAAGTGCGGGAGCATCCTTCAAGCAATGACTGAGGTGGGTTGGAGGAGTCAATCTAAGGTATGTCCCACATTGCCTTCCAGGGTTACCCAATGCTCAACAGGGATTTCTTATCATAGTTTCTTGTCCTTCCTTGGCCCACCTCCTCATATACTTTCTGGAATAACACTGTGAATTCAGTACACACATGTGTTTGCATTCCTTTCTTGGGGTTTGTTTGCAGAATCCAATATTAAAGAGAAGTTTGATGCTGCGTTGGGTGAGATCAGCAGAATGTCAAAAATAATTTTTCCAGTGCTTTCTCTGATCCTTTAGCATCAATAACAGTGATTGCTACTTGCCAAATCCTATGCCTATTTCCCCACTCCTTAGCAACAAAACCTTGGCTTGGGGGACAACAACATATCTCTTAAACACCTCATTTCCCAGGCCTCTTAGGAAGTAGCAGTAAGTCAGGTGATTAATTCTGGCCAGCAACATATGAATGAAAATCCTGTGTGGGGTTTATGCAGTGTCCTTAAAGGGACACAACGTGCTTCTCTTCACTCACTCCCACCCTTCATCTGATTGTTTGGAACAAAGATATCATGGCTGGTGCACTAGCAGCTGCCACAGGTGACCTAGGAAGTAGATGCCTTGAACTGATGATGGAAGATGCAAGGGATGGGAAACCAGCTATGTGCTCAGGCAGGCAGTTGTCTTAGCAGCAGAAGACTGCTGGCTCCCAACTGGCTTTTACATGGTGTAGAAATAATATATGCAGCTGGTGTAGGGTCACTTTATCCTGGATGGATGGTTTTGTCTAAATTAACAGAGCTAAACATTCATTTTGTTGGGCCACGGTTCCTACTCACAGGCTCTATCCTAGATTGTATTTTTTGGGATAACCCTCTCAATTCTTTTCGGCAAATTCTTATTATGCTAAGACATTCACTTAAAAATTTTTTCTGTGTTCTTTTTTTTAGTCCAATCATAAAGTCCCTGGAGTTAGTCCTCCAGCAAGAGCACCATCCAAAATGCCTTGTGGGATTTTATCTTTAAATGTTGAAGAAGAAAAATGCCATGGGAAACCCTCGGGTATTAGGAGTCTCCTGTTCTGTTACTCAGAATCCATGGAATATTATTGGTAGTGTTACTACTGTCCAACTGGATTTAGATCTGTAGCTCTGAGTTTTTGAAAGTTAACCGGGATTGTAAAGGGAAACTATATCCTTGGTTTAAAAATACTTCTCTGTAATATAAATAGCAATGAATGTCCTGAATATACTTAAGTCTGTGCAATCTAAAACTCTGGTCTGAAAAAACGGTCTGCTACTATTTGTGATTGACTCACTCATGTCTGGCAATCTTAGCCACTGTGCAGGTGCTAGGAAATGTATATATTATCAAAGCCTAATTTTTCTAAAAATAGTTGATTTAATGGACTTTATGATTCTTTTATAGCCCTCAGAGACTTAAGAGTCGTTTGCATTTAAATTGCCGTGATAGTAGCATAGAGAATATGTACTTGCACACACATGCACACACTCCACATTAATTGAGCTCTCACCCAATGAATGCCACTCATTTTTTTCTCCTTCTCAGCTTCAAAAAGACCAAGAATCACAGAAGGAAAGTTTATAAAGTCTGCTCAGATGTTGTGAGGCTTTGTCTTTAAGAGCAGTTTTGTGCTGTCATGGAGTGAGCCTGATTTCTGCAGGAACTGGAGCATGCTCGACGTGTCTGCTTAGTCTAGCCATACCTCGTCCTCTTTGAGCTTGCAGTGGTGGTGGAGGAGGACCAGGTCTGAAGTCTCCTTCTTCAGGATGGACTGGTACTGCAGGAGGGAACAGTATGTCGCCTGAAGCTCTTCTGTGCGGAACTCCAGCTCCTGCTGCAGGGCCAGCAATTTTTTCTTCAACTGCTGGAGTTGTCTCAGGTGACACTGCTTACTGGACCCAAACTCCATCTGCGACTCTTCAAATACTAAGCCCTGTGCTTGCTGCTTGCTCTGCAATAAAGTTTTAATGCCCAGAAAAGGGTTCATCAGTAAGGAGTCCATTATTCTGTTTGAACATGCATGTTTAGGTATCTATCCTTTTATCGTTTTGTTTACAGAGAACATACTATTTCATATTATTCACTAGAAAATAAATCACTTTGCATTCCAACTCTGAAAGAAGTATTTAAAAGAAGAAAAATAGGGGCCTGGCGCGGTGGCGTAGCGATTAGGGTCCTCGCCTTGAACGCGCCCAGGATCCCATATGGGCACCGGTTCTGCTCCCGCAGCCCTGCTTCCCACCCAGCTCCCTGCTTGTGGCCTGGGAAAGCAGTCGAGGACAGCCCAGAGCTTTGGGACCCTGCACCTGTGTGGGAGACCTGGATGAGGCTCCTGGCTCCTAGCTTTGGATTGGCTCAGCTCCAGCCATTGTGGTCACTTGGGGAGTGAATCATCGGATGGAGGATCTTCCTCTCTGTCTCTCCTCCTTTCTGTATATTCGCCTTTCCAATAAAAATAAATAAATCTTAAAAAAAATTAAAAAATAAAAATGGTTCTCTCCCATTAGAAGCTTATTTTAGTAATAAGAAAGCAATACACATGAAAGATGCAGAGGAATACATGAAGAGAGAGAGAGAGGAACTATCTTCTAGCTGCTAGTTCACTCAATGGCCACAGCAACCAGCGCCGGGCAAGGCAGAAGCTAGGAGCCAGGAGCTTCATCTGGGTCTCTCACATGGATGGCTGGGGTCCAAACATTTGGGCCCTCTTCTGCTGCTTTCCCAGGCACATTAGCACAAAGCTGGTTCAGAAGTGGAGTAGCTGGAACTCAAACCGACACCGTTAAGGGATGCTGGTGTCCTAAGTGGTGGCTTAACTTGCTGCACCACAACACTGGCCCCAGGGCCCTCATATATAAAGACAACACAATTGACCTGGAAGAAAATAGATTTCTGCTCATGTTCTTGGTATAAACTTGGTATTAAAAAACATCTGTGAAAAGGAGTGTTCAAAGAAGTTGGGGGTAAATCTTGGTGATTTTGGAAACCTGGAAAACAGGTGGCTAAGCCAATGCTAACCAGATCTGGGCATTGACTCTCCTTTTCCTGAAAGAAGAAGTGACCTTGTGGAGGGTGTGTGTGTGTGTTCTCACCCTCACAATATACAATCTACCTGACAGGTTGCTAATATGATTCCACAAAAGTACATACTTTGTATCAAGTAATCTGCTGCTGGTGGTGCATGTTCCTAAGTTGTTTTTCTAGCATAATTGGGGTTTTTCACACTGGTAATTCCACATCTTGTGGCTCATCATCCCTTATGTCATTCATATGAAAGTCAAGTAGAGGAGAAGGGAAGGCCAGGGGCAATTCTTGGCTGCCCTCTCTGCTCACTATTCCCTTATTTATCGTGTTAGCCCCTGTCCAAATTCTTCCAGCAAAGCTGTCTTCACACCAGTGTTGTGGACATTACTGCCGTATCCTTAAAGTAAACACTCAATGCCTGCCTGTCTGTGTCTTATCTTCCTATTTGATTATAAATCCTGGAGATGGCAAGGGGGTGCCTGCTCTTATAGGGTCTAGATTACAGATTCACACACACATACGTATTGAATGAATGAAATGAAAATAAAGCCCAAGTAATCTCTTTGGTTGGCTCCCAGGAGTTTGAGTTTGTGTCCTTAGTCCCATTGACAATACTATAAAAAAGGAACAGAGAGCGAGAGAGAAAGAGAGCTTTCCTCTGCTGAATCACTTCCCAAATGCCTGCAATGGCCAAGGCAGACCAGAATTACAACTCATCAGGAGAGGGGGGACCTGGGAATATGTGAGTACGTCTGAGCGTGTACATGCATGTACACACAGGCACACATGCACAGAGGGTGACTCTCGAGATCCCAAGTTGCCCTACATCCACAGGCAGGATGGGGAGGGTGTGTAGGAAGCTACGGGGGCCGCAGGGGGAGTGATTATAAACAGTAAGTGACTAACGTAGACAGAATTAAAGTCATAGAAAGGACATTGTGGGAGCAGGGTTAATTCAGCAAGGCTTATTTTTATTGAAACAAACATGCCACAAAAATTCCTATGGAATCTTGTCAAAATTCCCATGTTTTGGCTTTGTTGAAGGTGACGTGATCTCTGAGAATTAAGGAATGGGGTTCCCACTTTGAATGCTTGGGGGTTAACTATTGATCCGGAACTGCCTCTGCACTGCAGAATCTGTGTGACTCTCTGGGAACCAACTGTGGCCTCCTCGCTCTGTATTATGTCTTGACTTCCCCTGCTTTCCATTTGCGCGTTTGTTTTACTCCTCATTACTTAATGAGAGAAATACTCTCCTTGTAAAAGAGGCTAAAGTCTTTGTTTTGGGCTTCCCTTGCTAGTATCTGCCGCTCCATCTCTGTTTAGATGTGTTCAGCACTGGTCTTGGGCTTTAAAACTTCCTGTGGCTGAGAATGGCTTCCCTGACTGACGTGTATAAGCCCAGCACGCTGGCTGCGACACAGTGTCCTGTTCATGATGTCTCCTTGCTGCTCTGAGGTTGTGTTTGGTCTAAAGGACCATGCCAAAGCACACAGGTGATGAGCGCTCTCTTGATTCTTCCAGTGCAGGATGGAGAGAGCATGTGACCTAATTTGGTTCTAAAGATGCAAGAACTTCTTACATCTTCTGAGAAACTAGAGTTTTTTTGGATATATATTTTAAACATCTGCACACTTTGGCTTCCTGTAGGTGTAGAGGAATCAGATTTCAAAGACTTGGACAAATGCCTAGGCTTATTTGACACAGCTATTTAGCATAATTTACTTTTTTTTTTTTATTAATTCCAAAATGAATGAATAGAAAATGACATGTCATAGTTTAGATCTACATTTACTTATACATATGCCGAAGGGAGTACCTTAAAGGTACAGACATATTTTTTGTCCCTTCTCTTTCTAAAGTAATTTTTCCATCTAGCAAATACATGAATTTATTTGATCATATTCTTGTTTGGTTTATAAACTGAAAATTGAAGAAAATGAGCAAGTTGAAGGTGATTTTATGGAGGTAGGACCGGTTCTGAAAATGACCGTGCAGAGGAGGACATGATGGCAGGAGCCATTCTATACACCAGGTTTCTCGCCTAGATTCCCACCCAGGCTTTTGTGGGGAGCCCTGGCCATCCCGGGGGACCTGTTCCCATATTTTGTCAACCTTTCAGCCTGACTTGCGGTCAAAGAGATTACAGCTATTGCTTTTTCCTTGTCTATGTGGCCACTTGATCACAGAAGGAAATTAATTGGCCTGGCGTGATTTGCCTTTTGAAAAGTCACATTGGTTTCCACCCAATACTTTGTGCTTTTCAAGTTGATGCTAATTGATTGATGTTAAGTTCTATATTTTCCCTCATATTGAAGTTAAGCTGACAGGTCTATAATTACCAGGATTGTCCCTTTTCCTTTTAAAAAAGATGAGCACTTCATTTACCCTTTTTCAGTCTACAGGGACTTTCTTTATGCTCTTGAGTTCTCAAAAATAATCACCAGCAGCTATGTAATAACACCTGCCAATTCCTTAAGTACTCTTAGAAGTATGCCATCAGGCCCTGCTGATTTGCCTAAAGCCAGCTTTTCAAAATACATTTTAACCATTTTATTCCCTATTCTACTTGGGGCCGACTCTATTCCATCGCCGGTTAGCATTGTTCTGATAACTGGATCCCTGACGATTTTTTTTCCTTTCTTTCCTTTTTTTTCCCTTTAAGAATCTAAAGAAGAACCTATAGTTTTCTCTTTCAGTCATTTTCATGAACTTCTTTTTCCTATCTGTGTAGTATTACGTGATATTTCTTGGAATGCTAGTTTAGCCTTATATAATCAGTCAGGTTTGCCCACTGCCTTTTGTGTCTTCTGCAAACATCATACTTGTGCTGGTGGAGCGTGGAGCTGTGCTTGGAAGTGACACGCATTTACTCTGGTCAGAGCTTCATGACTTCTATATTGTTTTCACCAGAGACCTAAGCTTACCTGAGATTCTCTTAAAATGAACTATTTGGGGATGAATTTTAACTTACAGAAAAATAGCAAGAATAGCACACAGTCTTAAAATTGTTGAGTCAGCTTCCCCTAGGGTTAAGTACTTCCATAATTTGGTATAATTGTCCCAACTAGGAAATTAGTACTGGTAGATTAGTATGAACTAGTTAAAATATTTGTTTTGAGTTTCATCTTTTTTTCCCCCATTAATGTACTTTTTTTTCTATTCCAGGATTCAAAATCCTACACAGTATTCAAGGGATTCATATATATATATTTCATTTCTAATGGTTCTGTATGATAATGCCCATCAAGGCCTTGCTAATCTCTATGTATCCTTCAAGTGACTGCTATCTGCAGGAATCAAATTTGCCTTGTGTAGTTTTATGCTAAAAATAATGCCCTGCATACACTTCAAAGATCAGTTAGACACTCTGAGCTGCCCGGAATATCAAGGTTTGTTCCTCAATGCTCTCCTAGGAAGGGGAGCCTGTGAACTTGGCTCAGAAAGGACTTTCCTTTTCTGGTTTGATCATTTCCTTATGATGTCTCTGTTGTTCTTGCCTCCTTTCACTTTAAGGGAGATACCTTTTGGCTCCCAAGCAGGACCAGCACGAGGATGAGGGAAATGAGGAGCACCCTTTGAAGCAGCTGCCCGTCTCGGCTTCAGGCACGTGCAGGCTGGCACAGGAAGACTGAGTGCCCATAAATTCTGCATCCCAGGCATTTCACTTGCTTCACCAAAGCCCCTGTTCCATGCCTGGGCTTTGGAGCATAATCTATTATTATTTTATAAGGTCAGGTCTTTTTCTCTCTTAGTATACCCTCCCTTCCTCCCTCCGTCCCTCCGTCCCTCCTACTCCTGTGGTTATACATATCATTTGATGTAATATTTTAATTTTTTCTGATATCTGTGATCCTGAACCATGACCTTCTGCTTATTTCCTCAGCTCCTTGTTAGATATTAGCCAAAATTTCAAAAAAGTCTTGGGTTTCTCCTTTATTCCAGTGTTTCATTGCCTTGTGGAAGGCAGATTTTAAAGGGATTTTCTGAGTGAATGAGTGTAAGTCTACATCTAATTGTGTATTTGTATGCATGGTCTGCAATTTAAATTCTGCACTAAGTGCTAGGGGAAAAAAGAGCTTGTTTCAAGCTGTTAGACCTTCTTCTGGGCAATTAGAATAATAAAATGCGATTTAATACCTTTCTGCTTCCAAGTTGCCAGGTACATTTATAAGCCACATGGCTTTCCCTGATGGAGAACTCAGGTCAGCAGTGGTGAAAATATCCTAAAAATGTTAATATTTAGAAAAAGTAAATTACGATAATCTTCTTCCTGAGATCCATTTAGGAAACCCAATAGATTTTCTTCCCCCTGTATTTGTGACTTCCTGGGGAAAGGCCAGCGATATTTGGTAAAATGAGCTAGAGTTTCTTTGTTGGCAGCATTGCAGAGAAACAGCCTGTCACCGTAGTGAGGTGGTAAGACCTCGGAGAACCCTGACACAAAGTGAGTAGATCCCTGACCACAAACAATGAAGAACACAGCGATTGTGTACTCAGCAGCTGAGAGGCTGAACAGGGCTTCTAGCCACAGGTCCACACAGCTAACACCTGCTTTGTGTCCACACACAACCCAGGTGACTAAGCAGAAATGAAGAAGGCAAGTAAGGTATTTCTGTAAATCCCAACATTTTCAAGATCCGAGGCAAAATTCCTGCCAGCAGCTCCCCAGCTTGTGTAGATAAGTTTGGGGACTATTTTAAAGACTTCTGAAAGTGAGAGACAAACTCTGCAGCTGAAAGAAGTTGCCTCAGCTCTTGAACTTCTTGGGCTCCAGGTAAGTACTAGTTCCAAATCACAGTCTGAAGAGAGAGGATCACACCGTGAAGAGGCTCAGCTACTGCTCACACACACACAAAGGCAAGTGTTGCTGAGCATCTGGGCTCAGGCATCATGGAAGGCATGCTCTGTGATGAGAAACTAAATGTTGAGTGGTAGTTGTTGGAGGGGATAATCTCAGGAAACTTAGGTAGCGGTATGGGGGAACCCAGACAAGGAAGGGAAGGAAGCTGTGCACCATTTGGCACCTGGTGTGGTTTACCTCTGAGGAACTCTGGGACAGAGGACAAAGGATGCTTCGTGATCAGGCACTAAGGGAAAAGTACAGGTGATTCAGCTGATAGTTTTCCCATTTATTGTTGGTTGAGGCTGCTTTTAAGGGCCCTATCTCTCCTCGGTTTATGTCCTGTCTGGGTTCTGGCACCAAGAAGAAATGCTCTCAGGCCTTGAGACGCAGGTGTGGCAATAAAGAACACCTGTAGCATTGATGAAGAACAATCACTTAGAGCAGATATGATGGTTTTCATTTTTGTGGTTGATTTAGATGTTTGTCTTAGACCCATTAGGAGATGTTACTTTCTGGTATTTTCAGAGCTATAGACTATAAAACAAGGTATGAAAGGCCAGATAAAGGAAAATCAACACCTCAGGTGTTAGATGACCTTGCAGATGGCTAGGCTGAAAAATCCTGTGGCCGGCGATGCTCTGTGTGTGTGTGTGTGTGTGTGTGTGTGTGTGTGTGTGTTGTGTGTGTTGAATTCTCTCTCACTGCTTTCCCAGTTAGTACTCTTGAATGACCAATGGAGAAACCTTCTACCATTCCTGCCCAAGGGAGCTGAGGGAGGGGCAGCTGCTGGGTCCCTTACATGGTTGTTGATCATTGCCTCTTCCACACAGAGTTGATTTTCCTGCAAGGTCTTCCCTTGTCTCTTGCAGACATCATGCAGATTCTTGATGTCAAGTTGTAGGCTCAAGAGCTTGCTGTTCAGGCTGTTCACTTCTCTATCTCTCTCTCCAGCCTAGGCAGTGGGAAACACAAAAGCATCAATTATAAACTATCAAGAAAGTGCTTACTTCCATTCATTTAACAGGTTGACAGAGATTTTAAATTTGCTGGAAATTTGTCCATCAAGCTGTAGCTGTTATTACTCATCCTGTATAACATTTACATAGTATCCATTTGCGAGGTGTCTGAGTGCCCTGCATTATTGAATTACTTATTTATATTAATTAATCTTCACCACACCACTGTGGGTACATCACAGACAATTCCTGTTTTTTTTTTTCTTAAGATGAAATCAATGTCTAGAATAATTCCAGGCACTAGTGGACTGTCTATAAATATTAATGGTTCTGTCACTGATGAAATGAACAGATGAGTATTGAGATGTCAAATGAGCTTGTCAAGACTATTATGAATCAGTGATGGAGTTGATGTGGGATTCTGAAGTCTCTTAACTTCTCCTCTACCCACCAAAGTCTCCATCACCTATAAACCTTGATGCTTTCTTTGAAGGTGTTCAATGGGAATAAAAGCAAGATTCCTGGACTGATTGTGTGTAAAATCCTTGCCTTTGACTATGATTGAAAAGGATTAGTTAATTGTCAGAGTGGAAAGCAGAGGCAGAGATCAAAACACAGTGTGCAGCACAGCATCTCGGGTGGAGGCAGGGTGCAGGCCTGCAGGCTTGTGGTAGGAGGGTGGAGGAGGGGGTGCAGGCCTGGCTGGTAGGAGGGTGGAGGTGGGGGTGCAGGCCTGCAGTAGGAGGGTGGAGGTGGGGGTGCAGGCCTGGCTGGTAGGAGGGTGGAGGTGGGGGTGCAGGCCTGCAGTAGGAGGGTGGAGGTGGGGGTGCAGGCCTGCAGTAGGAGGGTGGAGGTGGGGGTGCAGGCCAGTGGTAGGCCAGTGGGGACTCCATCAATCAGGATGTCATCTTCTACTCCCTTGTTGTGAATGGCAACTGTGTGAAAAAGGAGTTAGGAAGAAGTTCCCTATAAACCTGTGAAATGTCTCAGTCCAATTGTTGTGCTGGCTTCTTACAACTCTAGGGAGCGCAGTGTTTTAGGTCTTTAAATTAAGGCTGTCTTTTATGGAAGGGGTCTGCCTCTCAGGTTAGACTGCCCTGAAGCAGGTTCTTAAGTGAGGATTTGTGGCATATATATTAAATAATGCACTCAAGAGAAACCAGCAAGGTAGAAGCAGAAGCAGAAAAGGGGAAGAAGCCAAGCAAGGGCAGGATTTCAAAGTTTTGTGTGTAGGAGCTTTTGCCTGACCTCACAGGCAACACTACGGTACAAGTTACACCTTAGTGTCTGTCCTGGTTGGCGACATGAAAGTCGGGCTGTCAAACTCGGCATCGGCCAGTCAACGGCCAAGGGCTGCTCCCTAGGACTTCCAGCTCTCTACAGGCGAAGTGACCTCAGTAATCCAAAGGCAGTCATCTAACAGAGGTGCAACTGCAAAAGCAGAGGACAGAGGTTGGGTGCACAGATGTGGCAAGGGGATCTAAGCCACAGTGCCCAAGCACCCATACTTAGCAACAGAGCCAACAGAGCGAATTCTTCCTGACCTTGTGTCAGCACTGTGGTCCCCGCCCCTGGGACTGCACTGGCATAAGAAGTGTAGGAGCCTCAGGGTGACCATAACTGGACATCGTAAATCAAACCGTAGTGGACAGGTCAGTTTAAGAAACCTCTGCACAAGTCTGAGAGGGGCCAGAGGACAATGCAAGGATCGGACACTGCAATGTCAGAGTATTCGGAATTCAAAAGGTTTCCCAGAAATGCTGCTGTCTCAGCTGATTTATTCCTTCATTTCCATTTAGTACCTGGATTTTTTTTTTTTTTTTTACCACTTTACAGTTTAATTAGGTTAACGGCATGGCTCAGTCATTAAAAGGATTTCATTATCTCAAAACTCTCCCTCCTCCTCTCTTGCTCCTATCCCTTGTTCCTCACTTTCAGAAAAATAACAGTGGATGTCAACTGCCCCAAGCATGTAATTACCATTAAGACAATTACTAGAAACTCTCTTAAGAGAATATGTGTAGAGCAGCTAACAAAATGGTTGTACTGAGACTGGTTTCTAACTTGGAAAAAAAAATCTTTGCCTGATGCAGCACATTGATTCTCATGCTTTCTCTGGCTGCTATGCAAGGAATAGGGTTTGCAGTGTCCCTAGCGAGGGGGACCGTGAGGATTCCTTCCTCTCTGTCACAGGACTAGCTTTTCTGGCGTCTATGAGATTAGACGCCACGTGATCTCTGCTCTACAGGGGACCTTTGGTGCTGAATCATGGGTCTCGAGGCAAGGACAATGTCATTAGATTGTTCCACACAGAGCCCAGCCCATTGAGGGCTCACCAAGAAAACATCAATGATATACCAATGTATATTAATGATATACATGAGCACGAGTTCATCTCAGTGAAATGTAAGTGCTCATTCTCAAGCCAATAAGACATCAACATTCTCACTCCTGATCACAGACTTGCTAAGTCCATTTCTTCTGCATCTCCAAGATCTCAGAACTGGGTCATATGTAGTAAATCTCATTTAATTTGGACACTTAGCATGGGATTTTCAGTCTCTGAGGCAATTTTTTCATTCAATTAGAATAAATCTTAGAATAAATGCTTAGAATAAATCATAGTTTATTAATTTATTATTATGGCTTATCAATAATTATTATAGCTTATAATCAACTAGTTTAGGAAATTCTAAACTAGTTGAATAATAAAGATTTTTTTTTTGCTCCAAGTGAAATTTGTTCTTCAAATCTAAAACAAACCACTTACCCCTAAGGACCAAATCATAAATTGGCTTTGATGCACAGGTGTGAAAATGCTGGGCGAGCAACAAAATGATTTTTCATGAACTATGTTTCCTTTTAATCTACAGACCATGTGAGAAAGGCTAGACTCCCCTTAGCACCCCAGCCAGGTAAGTATTTCTGGGGTCCTAGTAAATCTAATTTCTTGCTAGTGTCCTGTACAGACATTAGTCATCAACTGCTTTAATCCTGTCTATGAAGATTCTCTTATAGACAGATGCCTTTTGAGTATCCACACACAGTAGGAATGTATCTAATCTGTCATTTCATCAATCACAGCTCTGGAACTGGTACTGGGCAGGAGCTTAACTGAGAGTCATGTGTGCTGACCCTCAGGCACCAGTGGATCCCGCCCTGGATCTGAACTTGTTCATGACAGCAGAAATCACAAGCCTGTGTGGTTAGGTGAGTTTTCATTTACACGAGCCATGTACTCAGACACTCAGTTTTGCTGCTTATATGAAGTTAGGAACGGATCATTCTGTTTAGAAGTATATGACAACAGCAGAGCTCCCAACCTATAGGCAAAATGGTGAGTGCTGATAGTCCAACTGTGACCATCTTCATGGCCATTATTGGGAAATAGGTTATCAACAGACACTTTCAGTATTGATTAAAAAGATTTTTTTTCTTGTCAAAGAGCACATTGTTTTTTTGAATGTATATTTCCAAAGGTGGTGGGAGGGGAGGAGACTTGATCTGGACTTTCAAGAATTGACAGGTAGTCCCATGATTCTTCTGGAGGGGAATCTGATGCTAAATTGCAGCTTGAAATGTAGTAGCACTTTCAGCATGTAGGAGTATTACAAAATCTCAAAATGGCATCATTTCCATGGATTTGGCACTTGAGCAAGAAAGCATGGTGAAATTCGTGTGGCAGATTCCAGCACAATTTTGCAGTCAACCAACAATACTTTCAAGGCCATAATTTTAGGGAAATTATCGGTGTAAGAACAAATATTCAATAATTGCTGGAAACTACTTTTAATCACTACTAATATCACAACAATTCAATATAAGTCAATTTAATGTGCAAGTTACATGCTTAAGAGCATGAAACTTTAAAAATACACACATTTCAAGAATTTTCACACATTATAGTTAAGGTCACAGTTATCTACAGTAATCTCAAACATTGATATAGACATCAGTAATTAGATTCCTTGGGTTTCCTTTTCCACCTACAGATATAATTTTTTGATTTACTTATGATGAAAATTGACAAGGTTTGCCTATGAGCAAAAGTTTTGGAAAGAATTATGTTCAGATATTGAATGGGTCCAATTTATTGTGTTCTAAATTCTTTAAACATGGGCACATGATACGCGTAAGAATACAGTTTAGGAGACAAATGGCACATAGCAGGTATCAGCCACCTATGGCACTTGGAGAATTGCCATGGCTTTCGCCATCATATCCTTGGAGCAATCAGTCCACAGGATTAGAAGCTGAGCTTCATGAGCGAGGGAGTACCTGTACATTTTGTTTGCTCTTTATCCCTAGCCCTGTTAACAATGCCTGGCCCAGCAAAGGTGTTCCAAAGTTTAAGAAAGGGAAATCTATACCCGATCCTTGTTCCTTACAGATCTGGAAGCAAGTCTCACACAGCTCCAGCATTTCAGCAGGCAAAGAGCAGGGGAGTCTGGTTTAGAAGCCTTTTGGGTGCGACGACTGTGTTCTCATCCAAACAGCTCCCTTCAAACCTTTCTGGAACAGCTAGGGCATCTGTAGATTCAGTATGACCCAGACTAACCAGAACACTCCTAAATCAGTCCAGAGGAGAAGAGGATGCTGGTAATGGCAAATATTTATGAAGTACTTTTATAGGCAGTATCATCTTCAATTCTCATAGCAAGCCAATGAACTATGTGTTCTTCATTCATACGGTTTTTTAGGTAGGGCAAAGGAAGCTCAGAGAAAGCAGGTCATCGTGCTATGTATTACGTAGCTGTTACATAACGGACACAGCCTACTCAAACTTGGGCTCTTTAACACTACGCTCTGCTGTCCACTTTTGCCTCTGTGAATCTCTGATGCTTATGACTGAAGTTTTGAGTCATGAATCAAAAAGTTCTTTGCACAAAGATTCTTGTTAAGCAGACAAGGTAGAAGTCTTACCTCATTTTTCAGGTCTTTGGCAGCTCTCAATTCTCCTTTAAGCTTCAGCATTTTCTGAGCTTTGTTATAAACCTGGAAAAGCCATATGAACATGGGGGAAGTATTGAGTCTGACCCTTTAAAGATTTCCCCAGCTGGGCCCAGCGTCGTGGATTAGCAGCTAAATTCCTTGTCTTGAACCTGCTGGGATCCCATATGGGTGCTGGTTCTAATCCTGGCAGTTCCACTTCCCATCCAGCTCCCTGCTTGTGGCCTGAGAAAGCAGTCGAGGATGGCCTGAGGCCTTGGGACCCTGTATCCATGTGGGAGACCCAGAGGAGGATCTGGGCTCCTGGCTTCAGATTGGCACAGCACTGGCCGTTGTGGTCACTTGGGGAATGAATCTTGGGATGGAAGATCTTCCTTTCTGTCTCTCCTCCTTTCTGTATACCCGACTTTGCAATAATACTAAATAAATCTTTAAAAAAAAAAACTAATTCTAAAAAAAAAATTTCCCCAGCTGGATCTAGACTTCCAGTAAGGGGAGTGGGGTGGGAAAAATTTCCTGGACTTCTGGAAGTACCAACTTGTCTATCCGTGTTTTCAAAGGTTTTTGTTGAAATGTCACCAGGGAGGTAGGACCAAGGCTGACATCTTTTCCAGAAAATTACTACTAGTTGGATCAATTTCTGAATTCACCCTTTTTGGAAAGCACAATGTCCAAACTGGGCTCATTTGCCTAATCTTTAATATTCTATGGCTCATCATACACTTACTATGAGCTAGGCAAGATGTGCATGACTCAGTTTCACTTGCAGGGCAGCAACTATGATGGTCTTCACTTCATAATGAAGGAAAAGGGAGACCAAGAGAAGCTAAGTCACTTACCCAAGGTCACACAGGCTCTTACCACACCACGAAGAGCTTCCTCTAAGTTTAGAGCTATTACTTGGGAATAGCCAATGACATGAAGTTTCTGAAGCATCAACATGCCATAATGTTGACACTCATGAAGTTGGGAAATTTGTAAAGTGCTGAGAGTTACGTAGATTAAAAAGCTACCAAGGAAACCAAAGGATGATGCATTTGAGGTCATAATGCACTGAACTTATTAAGATAATCTAACTCATCATGTTTTTAAACTCTAAGACCAAAGAAAATCCAAGACACCAGGCACTTACCTGCAGAATAGTTCTAAGAATGAGAAGCTATCAAAATACTCATTCTTTGTAGAGAACCACATCCCCAACCCTTAACATAAGACAGGAAGAAGAAGAAAAAATTCTGGTGACACATGGAATTTGGAATGTCTTTTGGAGTTGTATTCTGATTTTCTGCATTGTATACCTTCTTAAGTCTCAAGCACAGAAATGCATCATGGGAATGATGATGTAGTTTACTCTTACCTGGTAGGGACAGGACAGGTAATGTCGCAGTAACAAACAACCCCCAAATCCCAGTGGCTTAAAGCTATGAAGGCTTATTTTGCACTCACACTGCCAGTCATTTATGAGTCACCTGGGGCTCCACTCCATGTTGTCCTCACTGTGCTCCTCATTGTCCTTAGCTGTTGGAACCTCTATTATCTAGTAGGTTGCCTGTTGCCATGGCAGCAGAAAGGCAACTTGGTGAATCCCATATTGCTTCTTAAAGTGGAAGTCACATACTTCACTCTGTTCACGTATCATTGACCAAAACAAATCAAAATGGCCATCCTCATTGCCTTTGTTTCCCCAAAGAAATATTGGTGAGCCTCACAAATGACTTCTACACAAGGCAACCAAGAAGATAGAAAATAATGTGGCATGAAAGAGTACTAGACAGGACTGTAGGTCACCAAGTGTCTACACCTGGTTCAACATCTCCTCTGAGGAGCAGACACTCAGAAAGCCCTCCTCTCTGAGAGCCCTTATTTCTGTCTCTGTCAACTAAGGAAGGAGGGCCAGGGCCATACTAAATGGTTTAAGGGTCTGTGTAGTTCTGAGTCTTACAGATTCAGTGTGCTAACTTGACAGATATCTTTAGTAGGAAGTATGAATTGAGTTCAGATATCTTACAAAACATTGTAAGGTACACACACATCCTTGAGAACATCATTTCTGCATGGGCAAACCAGCTGTGAGGCCAGGAGACAGTTCTTAGATCTAATGACATCTTGTACAAAAGGTGGAACAAATGATTTTCTAGATGGTGATGGCTTCACCCACTATGGAGTTACACAACTACAGCTGCAACGGCCAAGGGCATTTTGAAGGGAAAGTGGATTAGAAGTGGATTTGGAAGGGAAAGCATTGATTCTTAAGATTTGAATCGCGGGTGTCACAAAAAAATTGCATGAAAATATATTAAGTAACTGAGCAAAAACAAACTGGAGGAAAAACACAGAGCTGAATATTGTTCCCTGAAGGAGACACAGGAATCATGTGAGTCATGAGCAATTTGGAAATGTTTATGGTGGGAAAAAATGGAAGAGTTATGTGACAAATTTTAGATGCATTTGACAGTAATGCTTACCAGATGGATAAAGGAGAGTACCTTGAGAGAGCATCAAATGTTTTATCAAATCAGCACACGAATCTACACAGCGCTGTCCCATTGCTATATCTGCACAGAGAACTGCTTTCTTGTCTCCAAAACGTTCTGCTCTATGCCTGTCAAAGCAGGCCTTCCCTCCAGGACAATCCTGCTGAGAACAGAATGATATAATCAAAATAAGTCCTTGGCAGAGCATCTGGTGATGTTTCTCAGTTCCTCTCACTCCATTCTTGAAATAGCTTACAGATTTCACGGAGACATCCAATGCCATACCCCATTTAGGTGGCTAGCTGGACAAGTCTGAATTCAGATGGCCAAAGAAAAGTAACTTTTCTATTACTCTTCCTATTACGGTTTGGTGAGCCTCTTTTACAAAAAAAAAAAAAGGCAGGAAACTTAATCTTAGTTATTTCTGAGAAAGTACTGTCATTTTTAAGCTAAAATTAGTTAGGTTTTAATTCCTTTAATATCTTTAAGGACTTGTCAGGTGTGCCTAATCTCTGAGGTCCTGGTCTGAATCCTGGCTTTCTGAACACTTTCTGATGCAAGGTCATGAGCATTTGTCTCTAGTATGCAGCAATGCCTTTACTCTGATGCATACAGCTATCCTCCACATCCTGCGGTCCTTTCTGACCCCCAAAGACATTTCTCCGTGCTCCTGATGCAGCCACAGAAGAATGGTCAAAGACACTTCTTATCAGTATTAGATGCTTTCCATTGAAACAGGGGATAGGAAGCAGAATCTTGCACTTTTGGAGAGAAAGTAGGGCCAGAAAGGAGAATTTAGGTGGAAAGAAGAAATGAAGGGCCATGAAGAATAAGAGCAGGAGTTGTAGGGTATATAACACCCACTGCTGCAGGTGAAAATCTCTCTATGGAGAGCTACCTGGGGCACTTTCACAGAGGTTGTTGGTTGCCTATTACAACACCTTTATTCTTTATCTTCCCTGGTGACAGAACCCTGATTGTATTGCAACGTCTTTGCACTCATCTCAAAAACTGCATTTCCTGGTCTATCTTGCCACTAAGTGTGGCTGTGCGTACTGGCCGACAGAATGGACAAGGAAGTACTGGGATTTCCTTTGGGAAATCTTTAACAGAGATAGCTCCTTGTTCCTTCTCATTTGTTCCTAATTGCTTGCAATGCTGATTCGACGGCTAGTGTTCCTAAGCATACTAAGAGATGCTGAGAGAAAGGAAAGGTGCCTAGGTTCCTATGATGTGGAGCCATCATGTCATCCCTGGATGTGGAGTAACTTCCAGCTTGTTTATGTCACTGTTGATTTGCATCTTTTAAACAGTCATTGGCTGTATTATGCCTCTTTGTGATCTGTCTTTTCTCTCCACAAAGATAGCAGTCATCTCATCTAGTGAAGGAACAGGGACTTGTAGATCTTTTAAAAGTAATTTTGAATTTCCAGAAAAGTTGCACAACACAAAGTGTTCTTGCAGATGGCTTTTCCTAACATTAGCATGGTAAACAATGATGATAATATAACCAGTGTAAGAAATGAACAAGTTTTGCCAGAACTAAAGCATCTATTAGATCATCACCAACTGTTCCATCAATGTCCTATTTGTATCCTAGGGTCCACCCAGGATCCCACATTGCACCTAATAGTTCTATTCTCTTTAGATTTCTCCAACTTATTCTTCAGTCTTTGCTCATATTTCATGATCTTGATATTTTCAAAGAGTGCTGACTATTTATTTTAACAATGTTCTTCAGTGTGGATTTTCCTGAAAATTTGTTATGCTTAGGCTGAAGCTATGCCTTTTAGGCCACTGTCTTCACGGATTATTCCAGGGGATCTATGACTGATAACCTTTGCATTTGGGTATGCTTATCTCTACTGAAAAATTTCTTGGGGCCTGGTGTGGTAGCCTAGTGGCTAAGGTCCTCACCTTGCATGTGCCTGGATCGAATACGAGTGCTCGTTCTAGTCCTGGTGGCCCTGCTTCCCATTAGCTCCCTGCTTGTGGCCTGGGAAAGCGATCGAGGACGGCCCAAAGCCTTGGGTCCCTGCACCCAGGGCGGGAGACCAGGAGGAGGCTCTTGGCTCTTGGCTTTAAATTGGCTCAACTTCAGCCATTGTGGCCACTTGGGGAGTGAATCATTGGATGGAAGATCTTTCTATCTCTCTTCCTCTTTGTATATCTTACTTTCCAATAAAAAATTAATTTAAAAAATTATCAGAGGAAGAAACTATGAGGGATTGTAAGTATCCTGGCTTTCTTCAGACTCTTTCATTACTGTAAGCCAATCTCACTTGAAATAATTACCACTTTGGTGTTCTCCAGGAGATTTTCCACTTTGTTTCCACATATTCCTTCATCATTTGTCCTCTAGAAGTCTTTGGTAAGGAAGAGCTTGTTTCCTAGTCCCAGTTTAATTATTTGTTTGCATAAACGTGAGCACATGGGTATCTGTTTTGCGGGTTACAATCTGGTACCAGTGTGTCATTTGAATGTTCCAGCTTCGGTCACTAGGGGCTCTTCCGTGTTGATGCCTGTGCCCTTTCCCATGAGCCCTCATTC